CGACTCGCAAAATGAGAGCATTAGCTACACATGATACACGATAACCTGTACGGCAGATAGGAGGAGGCTGCACTAATCTCAGCTTTGCCGTCAAGACACTTTAGGATTGAACTGGACTAACTTCGCTCTATTTTTGTAAGTATTTCTTGCAAAATACTGGAATCAATGATATTAACGTTGAATAATTCGTTTGACTATTCTCAAATTGCGCCATACACTAGTTAGGGATTTGAAAGTTGTCGCCTTTCTCGTTTTTTATTGGCAGCTTGCAGAAATATACAAACAATTTTGCAACATAACCAGGCGGGGTGTACCTTCAGGTTTTGGTACTGCAGCGTGAATGGATCTGCATGGGGAACAGTGAAAGATCTTCAACATTTTAATGTTGTCTGCATAATAAAGCTACTGTACTTTTCCGTCAATTTTGAATTATGGCCCAACAAAACGTTGTTGTTGTTGAATCCTTTTAAAAAGCTGCGTTTTGGCCTTCTTCCCTGAAACTATGCGTATAAAAACAGTTGCGTTTTCCACTCAGGAAAGCGTTTTTAAAATAATGCATTTTCGATCGAAGATTTTTCATATTCATACAGAAAGTATACTAGAACGCATAAGATAGTTGTATTTTCATTTTAAATTTTTCGTGTATACATGGCCCAGTTGTTATCGTTACAAGGGCGCTCCAAATCTTGATAATAAGACGGTTAATCACATCCTTTAAACCTCCGGGAAACAAATTAAATTGCCGTTTTTTATGTTTTGATATCAGTTATAAAGTTATACTCAGAAATTTTAGCATGTGATTGACTTTTCAAATTTGCCTTTTTATCTACATACCTTTTTCTCTACTTCACTGAGCAAACAAGAAAAGAGGGACTTTCACGTAGAAGGTTAAAGCGACACTCATCAACTTTGTATTGTGCTCGTACAGTAGAAACCCCCATAATAGAACCTAGGTTTTTTTCTGGCAGCGTGAATAGGTTCTTAATTAACAGGCTGCTATTCTAAATTCTAGTCTAAAAGGTTCTTAACAATGTTCTTATATACGTACAGGCCTTGCACACATTAACAATGTTTTCCACCGTAAGAATTCTAATGGACACACTTAAACCAGTTTTGTTTTTCATGTGAAATTTCAACCAGTAAAATGAATTTGTGTTGTTAGGTTGTCCAATTAGAATGCAACATAGCTACCATAACCTGATTTACTCTAAGCTGGTTTATATTGCCAGTGTGAATAGGGTGTAAAAATACAATTCTAAAAACCCTTTTTTCTTATATATATATAAGAACCTTTCCAAATTTCAGCCTCTTGAGGGTTCTTAATTATGGGGTTGAAAAAATTAAATTTAAGCCTCAAGGTTCGTCTAAAAACAGGTTCTTTTATGCGGGTTTCTACTGTATATTGTTTCGTTTCCTGCAATGTTCTCTTGATGAAGAAAAACAGTTAGCAAATATTTAACTTTTTCTTAAGAATGAGTTAAAACTGATTTTAGGCTCCGAATTAAAATTTTTTTGAATATTGAAGCTCAGCGGAATAAAATGCTTTGTTTACGAAGGAACATACAGTAAACCGAGATGAATAAAAACGAGTTCACTTTCTTGGATTCCACGATTCCGAAAATTGCGCCGTTTGATATAACGAGGCCCTTATTCAAAGGTGGCGATGATTCTAGGAAGGCGTTTAATGCGGGGGGGGGGGCTCGTTTAATTTGATGTTTACTGTAGGCCCTGTTTGAAGGAAAGCGTTTCTATGCATGGGAAAAGAGGGTTGTTTTGCTTATGTAACAAGCAATTTTAGAAGCATCTTCAAAAGCATCATCAAGGACTCTGTCATATCCTGCCAAAGTCAATTGAAAAATAAAACCGATTTCATTTGCCAAAAGATCAAGTTTATGGGCTCGTCTGATTTGCTTCTGAATTAAGATCCCTTTCTTTTTTTAGACAGAATATCTACAAAGATATCCGTTTAAGGCGAGAGGTTAACACATTCTGCACACATTCTACGTCATCAGACGTTTCATAGAGGCTTTTGTCAACTTGGCCCCACTTGGTAAGAAAATAAGTTCGATCATTGACACTGCATCTGTAAGTGAAATCTAAATGCAAATGTATTTTCATTTATTTGTTAGAAATATATTGATAAAACAGGAAATGCCCGCTCCTATCCTATCTGAAAATTATTGGAATACTGTAGTCGTTGAAATTCCAGAGCATAAGAAGAAGGAGTGATCTGTTATAAACAGAGTTCGCAATCGTTTTTCACAGAGTTTGCTCAACCTCTGCCTGTGCCGTCGGAACGAAAGTCATATTGGGGGAGGGGGACTGCCCATTGTATTGCTCTAGCCATCCCCGGTTCCCGAGTGTCTATATCAGGAAAGCGAATGAAGGTTTTGCAAAAAAGATTCACGAAAGCTTCAAACTCTCGATCTAACTACCAATTTATGAAAAAATTTCGGAAGAAATTTTTTCGTTGGAATGGCCCTTTGATAAGTTTCAGGAAGCGGCTTCTGGGAGGGTGAGCCATCGATTTCGCTACAGCCCCGCTTACCCTGGACTCGAGCATATGTTGAGATGTTGAGAGCTTCCCTCCTGAGCGTCTGCTATTCAAAAAGGTGTATTCGAAATACAGTGATTTGTGTTGCTACGTCACCGCCTACGGCGTTTCTTTATCCAAACATTTAGACTTACAATTTCAATAGAATTATTGTGGTTAATGCTATGTTATATGACCACAAAATTTTTGAGATTGCAAACAAGTTGAGTTTTTATTAGCCTTTCCGCGTGCTAGTCGAGTTTCAAAGTTGATTGGGTAGGGGAGCCTCACATGGCTTAGCGAACGTGAATTCGTCAGGCTAATGTTTTTAAAACGTCAACAAGCCATCTTCCTTGACCGTCTATCAGCTATTTTGACAATTTCATTTTATCAAAGAGTCTATTTTGGGCGGAGATGGATCTCAGGTAAGAAATTTCACTGCATAATGCATATCGAATATAATATCTCGCATATTTATTCAATGACTTTTATATTGTACTATCCTCTTTGGGCTGGGCTTGATTGTCTTTACTGTAAAGTCAGGCAAATGGAATTATGCCCAACAATGTTTGTCGAAGTCGCTTATTAATTACGAAAAGGATTTGAGCGGAATTGACGTTACGCCAACACTCTTCAATAATGGCGTTTATTGTTCTATCTATGCAATTTACTTTTTATAGCAATAATCCATCCCTGTATGCTTAGAGTGAAAAACAGATGCTGTTGTAGTTTTATGCATCTCTCAAAAGAGTTCCATCCTTTGTCTAATTTATATTTTCAACGCAACTCTGTTTGTTTCAAGTGGCTCGTCACTTAGAAGGAATGTTATCTGCTTTGAAAATTATCGTATCCCACCTAAAGAGTTATCCCACCTCGCAGGCGTAAATATTATTCTTCCATTCACCGTGTATCCGTCAGCTGGTACGTTTGCACCATCACGGGTAAACAAAAATAAAACGTTTTCGCTAAATCTTTTTGGAAACCAAATCGTTTTTAGAATAATCATGACATGAATTTGCTTTTGTTAATGTTACCGTAAAATCTCTTTTTAGCCCCCCCCCCCGCCTGGAGGGCTTATTGTTTTTCAGCACTTCAAAGGGGGGCTTAAAAGAGAATTTACGGTATCTCAATAATTTTGTCACCTAGCAGTTGAATAATCATGCATTTTGTGACACAGAGATGAAATTTTAAAAGTACACAATTTGCTTTCGAAATAAGACTTTGAAATGGCCTTTTAAAAATATTTGAAATGGCCCTTTTTAGCAGCTTAGCCGTTAAAGAGACACCAGCCAGGCAGTTTTTACGTCAAACAACGTGCAGGGTTTTGCTAGTTTGACTGTACAAGCAAGATGTTATTCAGACATGGAACGCTTGTTGCCCATTGTCCGTTTCCAATAAGGACTAAGGCGATTATCTTCAGACACCATATCCCCTACATGCCTTCATTTCCGGCCCTGCATGTCCCAATTGTTTCTCCATTTGCCAAGAGCATTCTTTAAATCTATAAATGCTGTTATCGTGTTTTTTATCTTAAGCACTAAAAGAAGTTAAGCTTCCTTTTAATTTCGCTAAAAAATTATGTTGACTTTGAAGCAAATCGATATCTATTCCTCAAATTGTCACCACCCCAGCCCCCCTCCCCCCATATAGGCTGTTAGTTGAAATAGGTCATGTTCTATATTTTGAGTCGTCATTTCTCCAGGATCCTTTTGTGTTTCCATTGCTCCTTAAATATAGTTACAATCATGACTAGCTGTCAATTAGCCAAGTATTTAGTATACTGTAATTAATAAAAAAAAGAAAATTGGTTTGAATGATTTATTTTTAAAAAGTTAGCATATGATCACCTGAAATCATCGCAGGCTAGTTGCAGTTTGGACACGCCTGTTAAATTATTGAAATAGGTAAGTAATTTGAAATTCAGCAAGATTCAAGAGCTACCTGTTCTAACCTTGAATAGGACAATGATCTATGATAATGATCTACAATGGACAGGTGAAAATGTCCTAGAACCGACAAAGGAAATAATTAAGAAGAGCCAAACAGTTTGTCAGTTTACTGACTGCCTGTTGCAAACGTAAATTGGATTTCAAACCCTGCAACAACAGTGTAATAAAACCATATTTTTTCTAAAAACCCGAAATCCCCTGGCTCTTTTAATATCAATTCTTACCAATTTTTTGTGACTTTGGGTGCCCGTGAAAGTTGGAATGATAAAATTTTGAAATTCCATCAGAGTCTTAGAAAAAATATACTGAAACTGCATATCGAAAAAGTTTTCAAAAATTAACTTTTTAATAAAAATACAGACAAGTGTTCTCATCACAGGGTATTTTTTGTTCCCATACACCAAATTGATGTTTTCAGGAGGGTACCGCCCCAGAAGAGCGGATACGCCGATGAAGGGGAGTCAGGGAGTATTCCCCCAGTATCGGGCACATCAGGGTTTTGTGAAATCTCTTTGTAAAGTCTCTAATTTGCTTGCCCCCCCCCCTCCGTCACCACTTTTCATCCTGCATTGGTGCCCCTCGTTGGGTTTAAAGTCCCTCCTGGGACGATGCTAATGATAATTCAATTGAATTGCTCTATAATATGATGATGGTAGTAACGTATTTGTTTGCGCGGGTTTTCTTTGACGGCGATAGAATCGATTTAGGCACCTCTTGCTAATCGCATTTTGCATGCGAAAGTTTTGAATGACTGTTTTGTAAATTGTATAGCTTGCCGTTGAGACAGGGATGGTAAACAAACTGGCTTACACCACAAGAAATAAGGAGGCTTTGTTTTTATTTTGTAGGAAACAAAAGATTGAGATGAATCGTTGCTGATTACAGGTTGGTTGCAAGAGAAGCGTCTCATGAACTGATGCTCGCAAAGTTGCTCTACGATATTTAATGCAGAGTAATTGCTCGTCATGACTAGCAAAATGAAGAAAACAAAAAGTTGGAAGGAGTTTGTGAAAAAGAAATTCACCAGCGATGAAACAGACGGCAAGGACAAAGAAGATGAGTTATTGAACAACCTCAGTGAAATAAATTGGAATGTGGACTCTGAGTTGGTGATTAAGTTTTTGACTATACCAACAGCAAAGAACTACACGGCCTTACGTCGGCAGCTGGAAATTTGTGATGCAGAATGGATGACAGAGTTTCTTGCTCACGATGGCCTGGAAGTCATGTTTTCTGCCCTTCGCCAAATGAGTGAGCGCTCATACATCAAATTTGTAGACGCCGTATTGCAGTTAGAGTTGGTTCGTTGCATCAAAGCTGTCATGAATTCAAAAATTGGGATGGAGTTTGTGTCTGATAATGGCGAAATGGTGCACAAGTTGACTCTAGGTAAGGAATAATTTATAATACTTTTTTTTAAAAAAACATTTAATCTTTCTGTTCTAAATTCGTCAATGAAGCAAAGGAAGAAAATTTAGGATTTCGTTAAATTTAGATCATATATTTTTGTATCGTATGTGTGGTCTGATGGGTATCTTATAGATGAAGATAATACGGGACGTTGTCACTTTGGCTGGAGCACCTCAATCTTAGCATCCAACATTTCTAAAAAAGCCTAGAATTTGAGGATAATTAGGGGGAATTGCGGATGTTTGTCGGTGCTCAGAACGACGGTTCGTTCTTAGCCAATATCAACTACGGTTCATGCGGTCTTCTATATTTTCTCCCAGTTCTCTGTTTCTTCCTCATATTATCACATCTGATCTGCACAGGTGCTTTCTTTGCCTGAAACCAGGACATAAGTCTAGAAACCAGGACATAAGTCTAAAAACTTGTTAATTGTCTTTCCTTGCAACAGCTTCAGACATTTCAGATACATAATCGTCAATTACTGAAACAGGATTACGAATTAGAGCGATGATTTAAGTGTACAAGGTTTAAGATGGGTGGCTGGGTTTGTCCCCGAAAGAAGGCAATAAATGACGTAATGTGACTGCCGCGATTCTTCTATGTTTATTTGTTTTGTTTGTTTGTTTGTTTGTTTGTTTGTTTGTTTGTTTGTTTGTTTGTTTGTTTGTTTGTTTGTTTGTTTGTTTGTTTGTTTGTTTAAGCCACTGTCAACCCCGTTTCATTGAACTCAAACGTTGGTTTTAATCCACTGATTTTGCTACATTGTGCTTTGGTGGAAGGGGGAGGGGTATTAGGTTGAAATGGAATATTGGTGAATATCCGTCTATGGGCCTATGTCTTTCCAAATTTCGTCGAACTTTTAGCTTTTTATAAGCAACTCTTCAGAGATCATGATTATATTTTACTTGCATTTTCGCCAATTTGTCTTTGATTGAAGATGCTTTTAAATTCATACATTTATTGATATGAACTCGTTTTTCATACCGCGAGTATACTTTGCAGAAAATTATCCGTGAGAATTTGCAGTCGATGTTCCTTTAAGAACACCTGCTTTCTAAAGCTTCCTTAATCTGTGTAAATAGCATGATAAATAGTAAGTTGGTATTAGTCTTTATCTATGAGCTAACGTTTGATAAATCAATTTGAAAATACTTCTTAATGATAATGTCACCAAGCTGCGTTTATCGATTTTGTTTTGTTTTACAACCATGAAATTTAACTGTCTCCTGACAGACTGGCTCGTTAAATTTTTATGGAACAGAAGCAGGCTCTTTGTCTTACCTTATAAGTAGTCTGAGCGATGGCCTATTTCAGCTTTGACTTAATTCATTTGGTCAACACTGCAATGGAAAGCTTAGAGTTAGCGTTCAGCAGGCTTTTGCTAGTCGTATGTAATTATTAGTTTAAAGCGTATTTGATGTTTGATTTGAAGTGCCTTGGCTTTGCTAATGTTTGCGTTATACGCCATGTAAAATCATTTTTGTAAATTGGAAGTGTGAGATAAAGGGCAAGCTCGTTAGACAGAAATCTTGTTTTCACTTAAATTGTTCTTGCAACTTTCTGTGAGCCTTTGAATCGATCGAGCCTCTGCATTTTGGTAAACTGTTTGGTACTCTGTTACATCGGTTTCTTTTGCAAAGAAATATAAAGTTAATGATCACAGAAAAAATGGCATAGATATGTTTGTTATAAATTGCATTCAACGGCAGGTAGATCCGAACAGCTGTTTTTCTTTGTTGTTTTACATTAAACATCAATCACATTTATTAGATTTATTGCAGCTGTAATAAGCTTATGCCTTGAAATAATGATTTATTGCAGCTTTAAATGGGAATATTTGGGTTTTGTAGGATGAATTAAAATGGTCTTCTATAGATACTCTAGTACTTTAGGTGATTCTGTTAAATTTTATTAACTGTAACTTCTCTTACAAAAAATGGAAGTGTATGATAGCTGTTTTATTCTGCGTTCTGTATGCATTTCTTCATTCTGTATTACCCATGGTATTACCAAGATAAAATAAGAGAATAAACGGCTCTCTTATTTTATCTTGATATTACCCAATTGGAGCAGCGATTTAAGAAAAGCGTCATCAAAGGACTGCTTTTACTGTTGCTTCTTAATTCTAACAATTTTCTCTTTTAAGCTCTGAGCCATTCCTAAACAAGCAGTTTTCCTACAAAACCTTTTTTACACCGCGTAATCAAAATGGTTGTTTTGTTTCAGCTATGGATACAAAAAATACCATGATGAAAAAGCAGATATTAGAGATGCTGGCATCAGTTTTAATGTACAGTGAGCCTGGCTACACCCTCGTTCTCGATTCTTTGGATTTTTATAGGGTGAGTAAGCGTTACAAAGGGCATTTTAAGATCAAATGCAGCTTTTGCACTGAATATAGGGTGACCCTATTTGCTTCTGCGTGCTCGGACTGCAATTTCAAGACATGTATATATATATGTGTAAGTTGGTACTATTTGTAGTAGTTCCCATGGTAAAACTACTTTTGGGGTTGGAAACGAGAGGGGTACTTCCTCCGAGAACGTCTGAGACACCTTACTTTGCTTGCAGCAGAGGCTTTGAAGGGGTATTTCGAAAGTTGTACTTGATGATTTGTTTTTATTGCTTTTGAACAGCAAAGCTTGGGTTGGGCTGCATTTTAGTCCGGATCAATGCTTTTGAACTATTTTTAGAAGTAGTTCGAATTCCTAACCACGCCTTTTGCTCCTATCTTAACCAAAAGACAGTATTAAAATTAGCCCTTGCTCTTGTTAAGCTCTTTTGATGTTCTTGGTTTTTGTATAGTAAAGTGATGGTTTCTAGGCCGGTATCCACATCCAGATTGAGTCAGCTGACTTTGATGATCGACCGTTTCAGAATTCTTATGTTATGTCAGAATTCTTATGTTAGGAATTCTTTAAAGTGGATTTCACAAAACCTCATTTCATGGAAATGTAGTTTTGGAAAGGATTTCGATTCGTAAATCGTACTAAGGCTATTAAGTATATTTTACTTTCCTAGCAATATCCAATATCAATCTAATGAGCTTGTTGCACTATAATAGTCTAGTTGCTAAAAGTGCTCCAAAATGTCACTGATGACCACAATTAAGGTCAGGCTTTCGTCATCTGGCTATTCACTTAGATTTGTTATCAGCAGGACGCCATTCGCCAATTTCAAGTTACTGATGAATAATCATTTGTTTGGAGACAATTCTTACTGTTTGGGGTTGTAATGGTTATTACTAAACCAAGGGTGGAGAATGGTTGAATGGAACCCAAACTGGAATCAGGGAATATAAGGACATAAAGGGATGTTGGGAAATCTATAAATACTTGACTAATGGAATCGATATACCCAATATTAGGAATAATGGAAAAAATAAATCCAATATTGAGATTAATTGTACCGATATACCAATGTACTTGAATTCACTGTTTGGAAGTATTGAACTAAAATGGGCAAAATTTGCCTATTTCTAAGTTGCGAGTAGGTAAACTTCACGTTTTTCCTGATAAAGTAAAAGCTATATTTTATAAAAATCTTCCCATTCTTTTTCTTTTAGGTTCAAAAAGGGCAACGATTCCGGTTTAGTCTTATCATGAATGAGCTGAAAGACTCGGATCTTACACAGTACCAGACAACATGTCTCTCTTTTGTCAATGCTATTCTTCTCACAACCCTTGACTTTGATGATAGAGTTCGCATGAGAAATGAATTTATTGGTAAGTTAGTCTAGATTCACTGATTTATTTACCTTGACTTTTAAACTTCCTTGCAATATCCAGAAAACACGATATCAGGCACCACAGAGCGTTGAGAAAAGTGGCGGGGGATCTAAAGATGTGGGGGGGGGGGTTGAAAGGTATTTTGTACTTTTTGCAGGGGGGGATGGGGATAAAGCCTGTGGTGCCTAAATAATGGAGATGTTAAATGATAGCAACCAAATTTGTCAGTTTTTAAAGCCTTTTTGTGAAAAAGGATTCCCATAAGCGGCGGATTGCCCGAAAGATTCTAATGTGTCTTACAAATGGCATGGGCAACTGCGGGCAGCGCTCAACTTTTTTCGTGGTTGCGGTCCCAGCGGCACAGTGAAAACTATTCTGCCTGCAGCGGCTGTTATTGTAGAACGAGACACGGATTTTATCCAGGTATATCTAATTAAAGAGCTTTTGGAACCCAAACTTCTCTTTGTTCTAACCTACTTGGCTGGAACTCAAGTTTGACTTTGTATGAAAACAAGGTTGAGACTTATATTTGGATGTTACTGGAAACTTTAACGACATGAAACATGAACCAGGACGTACATCAAAGTTTATCAATTATTCCAAAATATTATATGAACATCAAAATTCAAAAAGTAAATCAAAAGCTCGTTGTTTTGAATGTGAAGTTGTAAGACTAAATTTAAGAACTGATAAAAGATTATAAATAACTCCATATTTGTTTTTCACAGAAAAGAGACCTCTATTCTGTGTTTTTGTCGAGGTTAAATTTGTAATTTTGGTCTGGAGCTAAAAATAAATGTCACTGGAAGATAGTAGCAACATGAGACTTCACGCTAGATTAGTTAGATTTTTATATTGTTTCAGTTTTCATACATTATACTTAAGAAAGATACATAGTGAACCATAGTCTTTGCCAAAATATACACATTCTTATAAGGGTAAGCAAGCATCTTTGCCAGCAAAGTCAGGATTGGTTATCGTCTTTCCTGTTGCCAATTAGATTAACCGTTCAAAGCCTTCCTCATAAGAACAGTGGAAAGAAGCGTGCCTCGCGTGTAATAGTTGAATTTTTTTATTTCAACGACCTTACCAACAGTCACCTAGGCTGTACGACGAATTACCACATTGTTTCCAAAGAAATGGACAAGGTTTTACATAATTTTTTTTCGTAGGACTTGGGCTGTTGGATATTTTGACGAAGCTTCAGTAAGTAATTTCGACTTGATTGTTATCATGATTTCCTCTTTTTTGTGGATTCTTTAATCCGCCTCTTTCCTTTATGGGCAATATGTTTGATTTATTTCTTTTTTAAATGTTGTGTGTTCTGCTAAGTTAACTTGACCTGCTATGTACGTTTTTAGATTCCTTTTTTCACAACTCAAACTTACATAAACTCAATCTTAACAATATAAAATTAGGCCACCTTTCCCAATCTGTATTTCAGCCAATCTGAGGTAGATGATGCTGATCTGTTCGTGCAACTCGATGTTTTTGAGGAGCAGAGAATGCAGGATGAAGAAGAACTGACTTGTGAGGGTGGTGTGGACCTCAACAATCCAATGCAAGTTTTCAATGCCTTGTTTCTAGAGGTAAGCCTTGTCTAGCACTTTTTGTATTCATAAATGGGAATAGGAAGAGGTAACGGGTTGGAAGAGCCTACAGATAATATGATTTAGAAAATAGAAAAATACCTGTACGGTCACCCTTTTTACCGCAGATTGTATAAGAAATTTTGGCACTTTGATGGATTGACTTTGAAAGGAGAGAGGTATTGTAAAAGGAGAGAGGTATTGAAAAGAGTTGATATGTCGTTGATGCAATGCAGACGTGAAAATATAAAAACTTTTAATATAACTTGACTTCATAATTTATTCTAATCTCTTTTACAGTAATGAGCTCTATGCCTTCTATTAAAAGCCTTTCGGTTCCCTGGGGTGTTTATTTGTGCTAGCGTAATAGGGGACAAAGAAATAAAAAAGAGGACTTGGCCTATGTATCATAACAACCAAAATTTCCCCTAAATAGAAAGATTTCTACAGGTTTTCTTATAAACTAATAGGATTTCCACAAAAAGTGGATGAAATGCTCATACAGTTATTTAGATACAATATAAACATGCTTGTACTGAAGCAAAAATAACATGAAACATCAGTCGTTTGGTTCTTAGTTGAAAGCAACTGCCCTGCACTGAAAGGGTTATAAGAACAGTATGAATTGGTGTTTGATTTATCTCATCATATGGTTACATATAATGAATATCTATGGATTTAAACCCCATGGAGTTGTGATGATTCTACTGCTGTTCTTTTCTAATTCGCCAACAATGTGGACTTACGTCATCCTTGCTTGAAGTCCTATTTTTCTATACAGTGCCTCTCTGAGATGTTGGGAAACTTTTCAAAGCTCTTCATTGAAACAATACCTTGAATGAATTCATTCTTGCGATCTGAATAATCCCAACAGCAGCTGTTCTTTAATAGTGGTTGTTATTCGCTGTTGTTCATGTATAGCATACTGTGAAATAGCATAGGAAAGTATTATTTAGGGAGGCTAGCAACCTACGTTTGGCTTTGTCTACTGCAAAAAATTTTCGATAATCTGTCTAGAAATATTGTTAACTACATGTATAAATACTTTTTTGGCGCCGTTTCGTAACTCCTTGTGCAAGGCAAATATCAAGCCAGTGAATCAAGTGGCAGTGGTAGAGTGTAAAGTAATACATCTAACGAATTTAGGTCACGCAAGTCATGCATTTTCTACCGATTGATTGTGATAGTAAGGGGCATTTGTCATAGAATTTTGAAATTGTGATAGTAAGAAGCATTGTAACGTTGGAGTGACAAGTATGAAGAGTAACTATTTGTTACAATAGGGAGGAGACTACTTTTCAAAGTTTTGAAGACCATGGGGGCAAGGGGGCACGTTCCCCCGTTCGTAGCCTCTTATCAGTAGCTCAAGATTCAGTTTGGGTGTAACTGCTCTTGCCTTCAAGCTTAAGCTTTCTCAGGGAAAGAATTTGAGCCACAGGTCTTGCAGGTTGACGTCATGTGCCCTTACCGCTACGTATCGGGAGATAAGGGAGCTTGAGGAGTAACCATCTAACGAAAAAATTTTTTCGTAGGTCGCTGATAAGCCTCATCTGACAAACCTGACCTGTATATTGCAATCTTTGCTTGCTATTGACAATGAAAACCCAATGATCGAAAATGTTTGGCAAACGCTGGAAGATGTCACGCGCAAACTTGTAATAACGACAGAGGAAAAGGAATTAGAAAAAATCAAATCAGCTGAAGTTACACCGAAATCAAACACGGTTGAGGTACAAACAGAGCAGAAAAGTATGGAGACTCAAGCTCCAACGAAACCTGCTGTTATTCAACGAAGTATGAGTACAGTGTCAACACAAGTGGATACAAATGAACTAGGAGAGGAAAAAAAGAAGACAGTAGATGAGCTGCAAAAGATTACTGCACATGCACAGCCGCCGCCACCCCCACCTCCACCTGTGCCTGGTATGGGAGGAGAACCGCCTCCCCCTCCTCCGCCCCCTCCACCACTCCCTTTGATGGGAGGAGCCCCTCCACCACCGCCACCACCGCCACCTCCAATGATGGGAGGTGGCCCACCACCACCACCTCCTTTGCCAATGATGGGAGGAGGCCCTCCACCACCACCACCACCACCTCCAATGATGGGAGGAGGCCCTCCACCACCGCCACCGCCTCCAATGTTTGGAGGAGGCCCTCCACCACCTCCACCGCCTCCAATGATGGGAGGAGGCCCCCCACCACCGCCACCACCGATGGGTGGTGCACCCCCTCCGCCACCACCAATGGGTGGTGCACCCCCTCCGCCACCATTGGGGGGTGGCCCCCCTCCACCGCCAATGGGATTTGCTGTAGCTCATGCGCCAGTTTACTCAAAAGTCGCCCCACCAGTAGCCCCAAAATCAAAAATGAAAAAATTGCAATGGAATAAGATTCCACCGCCAATGCTCCAAAGGTCTTCGAGTATTTGGGAAAAAGTTGGCGAAATAGATGGTGTTCTTCCTAACTTCCAAATCGGAGAGGAACTCTTTAAGCAGAAAGTGGCAGAAAAGAAAGCTAAAGCAGAAGAGAAAAAGGCTGTACCAAAAGAGGTGCGAAACTAAGTTCTTTAGGAAAAAAGTCTGGGAGGGGAACTTTTCAGTACTACAGCAGTTAACGAAATGTATGCGTAAAGTTTGGTTCAATATAAATTTTATTCAAAATTCTATTTTATGCAATCCCAATTTCTAAGTTTACTTTGAGAATAATTAAAACAGATTTTGCAAAAAATCAAGTTATCATTTATTTTTTGTAATAAAACCCAGCTAATTCAAGCATTTTTTTGAACGAACGAGGCCCCTTCATGTCTGATTATGAAGATGGTTTGGTGTCGTAAACATCGTTGTTTTCCCTTTCTACATAAAGCGTTCTAAGCAATTAGAGTTAAAATTCTAAATTAAATAATTTCAAAACAATTTCAAGTCACCAAACTACTTTTCTGATTAATTTTTTTCCGCGATACTGTGCGGTCATTTGCTGATCATGGTTGCTTCTTTTATTTATTAAATCTTTGATTGTATCTTCGATGTATTGTTTCATTCAAATATTGTCCTTTCTTTTAGATTTCGCTACTCGATCAGAAAAGAAGCTTGAACGTGAATATTTTTCTGAAGCAGTTCAAGCGGTTTGTTTCAATCGTGCATTAATTTACTGTTTGTCTTTCCTAGTAAAATAAGCTCTAAAAGCCTCAAAACCAACCTGGAGACAAAGTCGTCAGTCCAACCACAGAAAAGCGACATAACAAAACTGACATTGGAGGTCCCATAATTCACCGCAACTATAATTTTAGCATGTTGTCGACTATCCGCAGAAGTAAAGCTATATTTCTAAAGCCTATCCATAAGTTTTTGTTTAATCAGCTATAAAATATATAAATTTGTTTTCTCATGTACAGGAGAATCTCAATTCTTGATCATTATAAAGGATAGAAAATTTTTTGTTTATTGTATCTGCGAATGCTATAGTCCATATTCGGTCAAAATTACAATGTAAAATTAATGCTAGCCAAATTTAGTGACTTTCTGTTTTAACTTTAGGCCTACTGAGTATATCCTGAACTTGATTAAAGAAGGAAACAACAAAGAATTTGAGATCGATCGTTTGAAATGTCTCAAGAAGATGCTTCCGGATAGCAGCGAGGTAAATATGGGCTTCTGTTTAACATTTTGACTCAACATTTCCAAAGTTTCTTTTACTAGGATCGAAATTTCGAAATTTTAGCCAGATTTTTCTGGAAATCAGCAAGTATGAAATTCAGGCAGGACAACTGTAAAAGTTTAAAAACAAATGTAAAATTCTGAAGGTTTTCGAATACTCTTGCTTCTTTTAAGGCTCTAATCCTGGCCAATGTCAGAGGTGCATGATTGCTCGCCTCCCTGCACCCATTCAGGGCATTTTTCGGAAGGGGATCAATCAACCTTGGTCACATTATACAAAGCATTATTTCAGGGAATAGCAAGGCCCTATATTTTCTCTATTTAGAAAACTAGAAGATTAAAAAATTCAAAATTATTGTGAAAATTTGAAATTTTGGCAGTCAACATTTTTCTCATCAAAAGTTTTTTCATGCATTTACATGTCAAATGTTAATTCCAAATCGAATCATTTGGATAAAAGTATTTTCTTCTCGAATTTTAAGCTGCCCCTGAAAAAATTGCAAGTTGGTATTTATAGGTGGCACTATGCTTAAATGAAATGCATGATTAAATTGTTAAAGCTATTCACAATCCTGAATTGTTTTCTTACAGATCGAAACATTCAAATCATTTGATGGTGACAAAAGCAAGCTCGGTGCAGCGGAGTTATTTCTCATGGGTCTCATAGCAGTGAAAAGGTATTTTTCGAACATTTCATTAAGGGTATTAATTTTGAAAGTGTATAAGGATAGCAGCGAGCAGATTTTTAGTAGAGTTGAGGCTAGGTTAGGGCTTAGTATTTAGAGACGATTACCCTAAACGGATATTCTTGTTACAGTTTTAAATGTTTTCCTCGCTGCAATATTTTTGTTCTGAAGATAAATAGCTTACCAATGATAAATGTTCATGCAGATATCGAGCTCCATATCTAGAGTGCCCCACTCTTTGGATAGCCTGCCAAGAGTATACTTCAACGAATATAAAGCAAATGCTGCACCTGAAAGAGAATACCCATCTCGTTTATTAAAAGAAGCAATCCTCAAGCCAAATGTGATTGGACCATGAAACAACATTATCACGAGAACCAAGTGCGCCAAAAATTTACCACAAAAAGGATTTTGAAATTGAAAACAAATTTGGCAAACAAGACCTTTTTTGATAGTTCTTTTAAAATGGGCAAACAAGGCCTTCGTTAAATAGTGACTTGGGGTCTTAGAAAATTGAAACACAATAACCGGATTTGTGTCAACAGAAAGACCCTTTATATTGTGCCCTCTTCAACCATTTGTACGTTACCCCAGCATATTTTGTGCTTAGTTTTTTATCCTATCCCGTTGTTTCTTACCCTGAGGAGTGTCAAAAAACCCTTTTTGTATGCCGCAGAAAATTATCCGCTTTTGGCACTTCGTTGAATGGATAGCAATATATGATTTCACTTTTTCGAATAATGACAGTAGTTCATTTTTCACACCCTTGTTCAGCAGTCAGAGGTCCCATCATTTAGCTTGAAACTCAGAGTGGCAACTGTCTAGCTCGAAACACCAAAACAGCTCTGCCTTCGCGAATGAAGAGATGAAAGCTTTTAGGACTCAAGCATGTTAACTGTAATTTTCACGAGTCAATAACTGAGATATTTTTCTTCTAGGTATGAACTAAGAATTGACTGTATGATATTCAAAGATGAATTTGCTTCACACAAAGAGGCACTTTCACCACGGATTAAAGTGTTGAAAAAGACGATTACAGGTTGGTTATTGCTTTCGATTCGCTATCAACTTTTTCTAGCTTGGATATGTGTTGCTAGTTGGTATGTTACAGTCGAGTAACTGAACTAAACTATGCGGTGTGTTTAAACCAATCATTTTATTAATACCGTGAATTCTTTTATGTTCTTCGCATCCACTTCAGTTTCTTCGCATGTTTTCATGATCGAGAGTTGTAAGCCACTTTTTATCTTTTAAAAATGTATGTACCTTTATTTTTTAGATCTATTGCATTCTGAGCTTCTTCCAGAACTGTTGAATCTAATTCTTAAAGTTGGAAATTTTCTCAATTATGTATGTTTACCTACTTTTATTTACATTTGATGTTTGATATGAGAATCAAATGGCATTGCACTATGATATCCAATTCGATATCGATGCGTTTATAAGAGCAAATGCGTTTTTAATATTTGCTCTTTGCTTAGCTTTTTCTTCTTTTGAAAAATTTGAAGAATAAAGAGCAAATGCGTTTATAATATTTGCTCTTTGCTTGGCTTTTTATTCTTTGGAAAAATTTGAAGAATAAAGAGCAAATGCGTTTATAATATTTGCTCTTTGCTTGGCTTTTTATTCTTTTGAAAAATTTATTTGCGTTTGAAGTTGAAGATAAGTAATATTTGCCCAGCATTATCTAAGTTGAATTAAGATGATTTTTGAATTAAAAATGTAACTTTTTTCTAATGAATAACTACATACCCACCAAATGTACAGGTTTCTGTCTTAATTTCAGAGGAGCTGAATGAAACATTAACGTTGTTTTAATACTTTTGTGTTTTAGGGCTCTCATGCTGGCAATGCACAGGCCTTCAAAATCAGTTCGTTGTTGAAGTTAACAGACACAAGAGCAAATAAACCTCGGATGAATCTCATGCATTTTATTGTCCAGGTAAACTGCTTAGAAATCCTTTCCACCTCTCCTTACTCAAAGGTTAATAATTTTTCAGCAGAATTATAGAATTTATGAAAAGCTTAGCTTTTTTAATGATCTACTTTGCTTGACACATGTTAGAAATTAGCATTCATTGAATCGATAAGCCATTGAATGACGTCATTTTGTATCTTTTGGATTTTTGATCGTTAACAGGCTATCGAAACAGAAAAGAAGGCTCTCTTGAAATTCCCAGAAACTGTACCTGACATTGATCAAGCTTGCAAGTACGTCGCGATCCTTAAATTTAGTATATTTTCTATGTATTTGTACATAAATTAATATATTTATATATATGTATTTGTACATAAATTTTGTCAACTTAGAACAAGCTTGAGAGGAGCAAACATTGTCATGTACTGTTGTTTGCTATGTGCATTGTGATTACCTTCTTACCTACCCATTACCTTCTTAGGGAAGCCTTTTTTGTTATAGGACCTTGTTCAGTTGTCATTATTGTATAATTTTGCGTCTACATAGAGAAGAAAACTATGCCTACTGGCACCACACCGTTATTAAGGATATAATAATACTTTTATCTGACATATAGTCGGAGAACGTACAAAAAAAATAAATGTTAGGGATGTCACATCATTACAAGCATGTGCTAGTTATCAACATCGAAATCTTTGCCTTGGCCCCTATAAATACCTTTTAAATTTTTGTATCAGATCAAATCAGATCAATTCTTCTTTTTTCAAAGCGTTCTATTGGAGTATTTATAAGTACCCATGTTATTTCTAACTTCAAATGTTTGTCAATAAAACACAAAAAATTTTAAGCAACTTGCTGGCTACCCTTAAAAATTGAGTTTGGCAGTCAAATAAAGATAATAATACTCATTTTAGAAATTTTCTTTTAAAGAATTCTACTCCTATTTTTTCCATTGATAGAACTTCCTCCTCTTTATATTATAATACAAAATTATCTATATGCAAGCTTTTCATATGGATAGTATTTATGTAAGCCTACGAAGACCTTTTAATATAAAACATATTGGTTACTTTCATAAAGATTAAAGAAGAGAAATCTATCTTTATAACATCGTTAATGAAATGTGATGTTTTCCAACCTTTAATGACTCTGATTTCTAGAGTGACGGTGGATTATCTGGAAGGCGAGGTTAAACTGCTACGAAACAGTGTTGCCAAGCTTCAGAATGGCTTGAAGAAAGCGGATCAAGATATACAGGACCAGTTTGAATCAACAGTTGAGGTATGTAGTTTGTCGTTCGTCGCACCACCGATAGTCTTTTGCCCTTAGAATCGCACCATGATATGCGCACGTCCTAGAATTTTTGGTTATGTTTTTGCCCTAAGCACTGCTGATCTCTTGTAGTCGAAATATTATTAAATCCAGGGAATCGAACAGCAGCATTTACGAAATGAAACACCCAACCGCATACCTGGTCCCCTTTAATACCTGAATTTGAAATATGTCACTTTTGAAGATCGGTACAGTATGAAATGCAATATTTCCTCTTTAGGTAATTGTGCGTGATGACGGTAATGAATAAGATAAAACTGATAATTTTCGTAAAAACTGACTAATTTTTACATTGCTTTATTTTGTTTATTTTAGGAAGCTTTAAAAGACGTCGAAGCTTTCGAAGAGAGTCTGAAAGAAATTCGAAAATTGGAAACCAAGTTCGCCAATTATTTGTGTGAAGACGTAAAGAGGTTCAAGCTTGAAGAGGTGTTCTTGGTATTCAAACAATTTTGTGATAATATTAATACAGCAAAGAAGGTACGTTGCTCAACTGCTGCTTCGCTTTATCTTATGATGCACAGTTTTCTTGTATGACGTATACCCAAGTGTTCTGTGACCCTTTATTTTCTCCATGGGGCTTATCTCTTACTTAAGGCTGTAAGGGTGAAGGCCTAACGCCGTGTTCCCCCATGAGTGAGACTAGCGGCATATCTTGGGTGGTTTATTATCTGGTTCTAAACCAAGAAACCTGCTCAGAGAACAACAATGATCCTGCTACTCCTCTTACCATCCAAATGATAACTCTGTTACGCCCGCAGCTTTGCGTTGCAAATTATGGCAACTCCTGATGACCTAATTTTGAGTGGGTTTATTTATGGAAGAGCATTTCTGCGCTTTGATAGTAGAAAATTTTATCGGACAATAAAATAAAATATATTGGTGTCTTTTATTTAACTCACAAATATGAGCTGAGCGCTGGTGCACAAGGTGCAAAAAAACTATTTTTCCACAGTACCTATACTCCTTCCCTACTCTAACCTAACACATTCCTATGTATATTGAAGATACTGCGTTGTTTCATAGGAAAATGAGCAATTTAGAATTCAGGAAGCAAAAAAAATTGAAAGGGAACGCAAAAAGAAAGAAATGGAGGGAAAACAAAATGGCCCTGGCGGGAAAGTCAAGTCGAAGAAACCAAAGCAACTTGAAGTGGAGGAGACGTGTATTGTTGATAAACTGATGGATGAAATAAGAAATGGTTTCCCATTAAAGAAACGTAAAGTATCAAAACCTGCTTCACCTGTGGTTACCCTCACAGAGCAAAGTAGAAAGTTATCACGTGAAAGAGCCAAGATGTCAATTCGACGTGCAAGTTTATTCGCTAGCTCTTTGTGTATGTCTTCTTCATGATTTTGCATTTCATATTGACTTGTGTTCTTTTCTTCTCTGTAAGAGTGACTTCCATTTTAAGTCTTCGAGATATCTTGGTTACAGTCCTTGAGATTTTCAGTTGATAAATTGTTTGCCAAAATTTTTCTTTAAATGTTTTGCTGGCCTTAATTTGTCCTGTATTTTTATGGACAGAATGTTTTTGTAGCATTTGTTATCGAGCTGCTTTTGGAAGCCAAACCTGATTCTTCTTCGTGTTATGTTATTTTGCTAGATTTTTGAAGAGCGCTGACGTCTCCTTTCTATTTACAGCCACTCTGCGAAAATCAGACAGCTCTGTTGAATCAATTAACGAAAACTTTAAGACCAGAAGCAGATCTGCGAGTGCAAATTCAGACATGCATGCGCAAAAAGGTACACTCAATGAAGATATGAGATCTTTAAACAGTGTTACTGAGGAGGCCACCGAGAAGGGTTCAAATACAGCATCAGCCACGAACAGCCCTAGAGATGAGGCACCAGCGAATGAGAATACACCTATAACTACAGAGGAGGAGAGTAGCGTTGTTAACACAAAGCAGAACAATGCATCAACCAAAGAAGTAAACGGAATTGACGACGTGGCGAACATTTTGCCCGTTTGCAATGGCGAAACAGATGAAAATGAGGAATTGCACAGATCTAAGGGATCAGTTGAAGTTGAGGATATCGAGATTAAAGTTGAAAGTGAAGCCGTGTGCGAGAATTCATCCGAAAAGTTGCTTAGTAAAGAAGAAGATTCTGAAAATTTTGTAGACATTGAAAATACTGTTACCTCGGATAATGACCAAGTTAAAGAAGATCTAGAAAAAGTGAATTCCGCCTTGCAAGGATTTGTAGGAATACAGAAGTTACCTAACGGAAGCCAAAGCAGCAACGGAAGCCTCAATACTTCAGCTGTAAGTGAAGTTAAGAATTCGCCAGGTCTCAATGGATTACAAATGCATGAATGTCCTGAGAACGAGGTCAGTACGGAAGATGGCGTTCCAGATGAAAAGGAGGTAAATGGCACGGAAAATAGCAGGCAACCATCAAAAACTGAGGAGGTGAAGCAAAGGCTGCAGAGCAAAATTGCGGAAAAGGACGGGGGTAAGATAGATTACGATGAAATAGTTTTTGATACGACTGAGCAGCCTGAAAGCAAGGCTGTGTCCGTGTCACCGACTGACGATAATTCTGCAAAATCTGTTGCCTCTAAGAAGAAAACCGGTAGCAAGCGAGTAATGTGCTCTTGTTATTCACGACATAAGGGAGAGAGAAAGTCCGATCGGTGCTCTCTTATGTAATAATCGTAATAAAGATTACTCGTTAATAATTTCTATCCCGGGGCAAATTCTTTGGCAAGAGGCATTAAGAAGTTCCCAGCAAGATTAGGGCAATTTTTCCAGCTATAGGGTCGTTTCTGGCAAAAAGGCTTAATCATCATTGTTGAGACCGTGCAGAAGCCAAGGAAAAAAAATTTGGAAGGTAATTTTCGTGTTTATTTTAATGGTTATGCCCTAAGAAGACAAAAAAGTATTTATATTCCCATAAATTATCATTTAAAGTGAGCGATCTACGAATGCGAAGTTCGGGAAAACGAAACCCTAAATCAAAGAATTTTGGTACCCAAGAAATGATAGAAATATTCGATTGTATACAATAATTCATGTTTGAGGGGCTTTGTCATTATATTTTTTTGTTACTTCTAGATAATATTTTGATTTCGCTAGCATTTATATATCTATCAAAACAGGGTAATGCATAATGCATCGTAAATAGCATTATTTAAAAAGTAGGTGCTCGTTCACTATTAGAACGCTAAATGTATAATTACGCAACGAAGATAGAACATGTTAAAATCAGATAAAACAATGCAGATAAACTTAGACAAAATGGGCGTGCCACAAAATATACATTCCTTAGTATAAAGATTGCACTGGAGTGGTCTTGCAAAAAAGTATTGAAACGAATCAACTGACAGTTTCCAGGTACAATGATACATTATGACATTTGTTAAAATTCTTGAGTGACTGGCTGGTGAAATTGGCGAAGTGTTGACAGTGACTGGCGAATTCAAATATGCTCCTGTCTATATATTGTCTTATACATCATCCCCACAATAAGGTCTCAAGTCTAAGATGCCTGTGAGAAGGCTTGTAAGAAACTTTTATTCGATGTTATTTTGAGGCACTCCTTGTACTATTAAAACCTGAACGTATTAACGATTTTGCTGTTTAAAAGAAGAAATAATGTAAAATTTATAACGAGGAGAAGGTTATTGCGGAAAATTTTTTCTTCTTTTCTTTCTTATCTCACTTTGTGGATAAAGCCTTTATTGTATTATGACTTTACAAGAAGTTGACTCAAAAGCATTGGTTTCTCTGTGAACTTTTCTCTCGTTTTGCCAGTGTTGCTTCAAGACAATGCGATACAGTTCGATTATCAGATAGCTTTTTGAAGCTCAGATCCTTGATTTTGTCTCAAGATTACAAAAACTTTTGATATTTAGAACTAAATACTTTGAATTATAATATTTTTGGTCTGATTGAAAAATTTTTATGGAGAAAACTAGACTTTTCGCGTTTACTTTAGAAGAAATCTTACCAGCTTTTCAAAGCGAACCGATTTACTGATTACTGACATTGCATGTTTTTTATGGAAAACAGCTACGGAATCCTCGATCTTCAGATTATTGTAAAACTGTGCTTCCATCTATAAATTTTCGTCAGCGTGCAATACAAACTTTACTACATGCTATGAAAACAAAACAGCCTTCGAAAAGTTTCATAGAACTATATTGTACGATGTTGAATAAAATCCAGACTAAGGAACTTCGATGGTGTAAAGGTGGTAGCTGGAATATAGATGCTTTTCAACCTCGATTGGCTACAGAAACCTCGTGTTAGGAGGTTAGCTGGGCTCAGAGATAAATGACCTGCCAAAACAAAACAATGAATAATTCCAGATTATTTCACAGTGACCAGAATACTGGATCTTAGCCTGAAATGGGTTTGAATACTGATAAAAGATGGCTCGGTGCCAAGCCATATTAAAATAATTTCTACAGTTGTTTCGATATTGTGACTGCTGAAAACTGGTCAAAGGAGGCTTTCCGCTCTTGCATCGCATCGTTTTTTCACTGGCAAGTCGAGACCATTTGCTTATCTTTACTAGATCAGCTGGCTATATTGCTACCTGCTTTGCATTTTTGCTTGTGTACATCGTTATCCGTTTATCTTCACTTCTCTTTTATGCTTCTTTATATTGCTGCATGTGCGCTTATATCCGCAATAACTTCTCCACCGTAACGTTTTCTAACAATGCTAGTATTTATCGTAAACAGGTAGATATAAATATTATACTATTCAATTCATACTATTACTATTTAACAGACAAATTTACCCATTTTAAACGTGTAACGTTTTTGCTAATCATAAAGCTCGTTTATTCTTAGTAAATATTTCATAACTAAATTGTTTATTATGGAAAAGTATCAAAAAGTAAAGTAAAGTCTAATATATTGTTTTAAATTTTGAAACTATAACTGTGATGCAACATTAATAAAAATTTTAAAATTTAAACAACATGTTCTTATAAAAAGTAATAAATTAAAAATATCGTGAGATATTATATTTGACATTGGAAAAAAATTTACGATGGTGGGATTGTCAAAAATAATATCTTGTAAGTGAGTATCAAAATCTAAACTCAAAAACTGTAAGATCCTTATGATTAATAAATTCAAGATCTTTCAATTTTTGAAATTTTATTATCATTATATGCAGCAAGCGTAGTGCTTAGGAATATGCGTTGATTGCAAATATTTTTTATAGTTTGTTTGAGAATAAATCTGATCAATCTGAAATTCCTAAAGGCTCCTGGGTGAATTCGATTGGAATAAAATAAGACAAAAAAGGAACGCATATGGCTTAGAAATTGGATAAAAAGATCTTGTTTTTAAACCATCACAGCAAGAATGCGGTTTCAGGTTTAATTAGGTTTGGCTAAGAATCCCGTGGTTTCACACTATTAATAATTTTGATCAGTACGATAAATACAAATCAAAAATTACCTTCAACTGGACAGACAATAACAAGATTTTATTTGAATTTTTGAAGTAGATAAACGTTATTCATTTCGGTTATATCACATTTTAGACACGGTGTGAATAAGCCAAGGCGCCGTGGGGTGGCTTTTGAAATGGGTTTTCGTGGCTTGCAAAATTTCATGGAAAAGCCAAATAATATTTATTTTCTTTTTGATATTAGGAATAATGCAAGCGTTTGGTTTTTTTGCAAATTGTGGAATTACCGTGTCGCTCTTTGCTTCTTGGTTGATTTGCAGGTTCTAAAATCCAAAGGGGTTTGTTTTTGAGTGAAGATAAAGGCAGCCTTTCCACTAGCCCGGGTTAAAACAAAAACGGGTTAAAAGTTATTTGTTTCTGCGTTGCGCTCCAACTAACCCATTTGAAAAACGGATAAGTTTGAAAACGGGTTTCAGAGAGAGTCAGTTTTTACCCGGGTATCTTTTGATCCACCTGCGAGTTAATGGAAACGCCGAACCTGGATAACTTCTTATCCACTTGCAACAACAGCAATGTTTTAGAATTGAAATGGCGCCAGAACTCTAAAAACAAAATCCTCGATGTCGCTGTTGCTTCCATTGGCCTACAACGATGGAAATTTAAGAATAATTGATGCAGATACTGATTTCTCTTACAACTTTTCACCCCGAATATATTTTAACCCGGCTTAGTGGAAACGATCAAAAACGGATTAAAACGGGTCGAAGAAAATTGCCGTTTCCATTGACTCACTTTAAAAACGGATAACTTTCAACCCGGTTTTGTTTTAACCCGGGCTAGTGGAAAGGCTGCCAAAGTGACGGACTGCACCTTATTAAGCATCGACCCTACGACTCTGTATCTGTTTTTGTTGACAGCTGTGTGTCTCTTCTACGTGCTTTCAACTATCATTTTCATTTTGAATCCTTTAGATATTATATTCCTCTTAGCTGTAACACTGTCAAATAATATGAAATTTTACCGGTGCATAGGCCTAAATCGATCTCACAAATGTATAAGAAAACTATTTGGTCAAAATGAAAAGTTCTCCCAGAGAGTCGTGTTGCGGTTAATTTTCTGCTTTTTAAATATAACATATGAAATATAACAAGTTGGGAAGCTGCCTGAAACTGATAGACAGGGTGTTTTAACGTGCTGTTCTAAAAAAAATCTGTGCAGTTCTAAAGAAAAATCTGTGCAGTTATAAAATTTTTTTAATGGACAAAAAATTCAGGAAAACTTTTGCAGATAAAACAGACGAAAGTTTAAACACAAAGATCGAAAGATGAAACACAAAAAAGATAATAAAGATGGCGCCTAAATTAAATGAAAATCTATTGGGATATAGAAATTAGAGATATAGAAAGACATTCAATGCCGAGTAATAAATAATAGTTGTCATATCGTTTTTGAGTCACACATACACGAAGTACGAAATTGATATTGTCAAAGCAAGAGACTGTTTAAACTCTTAAATCAAAGAGCATTAAAAATTCAGAGCAAAAAAATCTTGTCACCAGTTTCGAATTTCAATTTTCCAGTTATGTGGTCAAACGAAGAAGACCGACAACCAAATTGGAGACAATTTAACATTTACTTTTCAAGCTGTTGTGCAATTGCTGGTTATACCCTGCTTTATCGTCATCAGTTTCGTCCGTCTAATGGTCATCGATCAAGAAAAGACGATATTAAAGTTTTTAAAACATTATATATTACATCGCCATTTAATGACGCTCCACAAACACAATTTCGTTTTTCAAGATTCTATATAGTTGATTTTGGTTTCTTGTGATTCTATATAACTACGAACTCGCAATGGTTGTCATATGCTCGAAAATTTGGTTTTCTATTATAATTTTCTTTATAATTTCTTTAAAATGGAGTGTTATATATAGGCCTTAATAACATTACCGATCAGCATGGCAGTTGGATATGCTTATTAACAACGTCAAAACCTCTACTTTCAAGTAAGGGGTCTGGAGCAGTAGCGTAGCGAGGAGGGGTAAGGAGGGGGCAGCCGCCCCCAATGCACAGAAAGTTAGTGTCTGGGAAAAGTGCGAAACTGCAATAAAATCAGTACCTCAGAGGAGGGGGGCTGAGTTGACATTTCAGACAAAATTGAAAAGTTTTCAAGACTGCAAGCGAACGACTGTAAGGAATATTCTGAAATTTTAAGCGTATCTACAATCCGTCATAAAATATATTGAGACCAGTGATGGAATCAGAACAAATTTATTCACAGTATAATCTACTAGAATTGTATCTGGTATTCGACCCCATTCCCCCTTCAAGCAATGCTGTTGAGATCTTGTTATTATATACGATCTTTGCACACACGATTTGCAACTATTCACCAAATCTCAACAAACAGCATTGCTTAGAGGGGTGGGGGAGGGAAGGGGAAAGTTGAAGGATTGAGCAACAAATAAGTCTGTCTGAAGCCTGAGTCAAATTACGAATGGGTAACAAAAAATATTTCGCTAGGTTTTCTTTTGGAAAAATACGCCAAACAGACTTTGGCATTATTGTGAGGTGGGAAGGAAAGGCAGTCTCACAATTTTTGTGGACGATTGTAGATGTCGTAGTGGCAAAAATTTTCTGCTCGTTTCGCTCACAGGGGACCCTCGTCTGTGCCTTTACTGAATGGTTTACAATTTCCCCTCGTTTTAGTGTTTATATAAACAAGTCCTTCACGTTCTTTAGAATTTCCTGATAAAATAGAAATTGAAATGCTAAAGCTTGTCGGGGATTTTGCAGATTTTCCTCAAGGATAACGGACATAGTTTAAAACTTATGCATACTGCTTATCATTTTTAGATATTTGCTTACAACTTTGAAAAATCAGTTTTTATACGTAGCGCTTCCTCGCCTCACACAATAACGAATATATACATTTAGAGGAATTGCGAAGAAGACAGTTGTAGCATGGGTGTCAGCCCCAAGAAGCTACGTATGACGGTTATTCTGTTTGATTAGCCATTCATTGCCACCAAAAAAGCCATAGCTTTTCCGAATGCATTTTCAAAATGGGTCATTTTCCCAAATTCTTAAGGGTGTGGTCAGCAAACATTTTCCCGGTGAAAAATCTCCGGACCCTCTGCGGTCGGACTCCTCTTTGCCCCTCCAATCTTCTAAACCTGGCAACGCCACTGGTCTGGAGCACAAGCTACCTGTACCTGCGCGTTGTGTACATTTGGTTTATACTTATAAAAACCAATAATTATTTCGTCAACATCGTTGAGTAGCAAACTCAGATTTGGCATACTAAAGACAATACTAAATAATTTACAGACAGAATAGAGTATTGAAGCTGGAGTTTTGAGATCTTTGATGGGATTTATTACAAAATTTTTCTGAGTCTGTTGATGATTATATAGGCAATAACTGGATTATCTAACGGGATGTCTCAAACGCACGTGACTGTAAAAGAGCACAGTGAAAATTTTTTACATGAAATTATGGGAGGATTTTTTTTCAATTTTGCCGTTTGACAAATCTAAGTTGTTCTTCGTCAAGTTAAGCTCTTTGTCAACAAAGAATGTAGATTAATTTGATTTTTTTCTAGTCGATTGCGACTTAGTTGCAAAAAGACGGCCAGGCAAATCTTGCTTAGCCTGCCAATTTGGTCTCGTAGCAACGAAGTCTTTTGCACTTATAAAGTAAGGCGTAACCAACAAAATTGGTGATAAGTAGCATTAACGAAAGTGTAGAGCCTTGCTGGAGTCACGCTAGTTATAATGGTTTTACAAGAAAAGTGCTTTTACAACGCGCATCATTGAAGTAAAGGGCGGACGAAAAATCATGAAATTGATCATAATATTATTGACTATTTTAACTGGTTTAAACAGGTTTTGTAGGAAAATTTGGCCATGAGTCATAGAGATAAGATTTTCAGAATGTTGAGCAGCGGACCAATCTCTGTCTACTGACCATGCCATGCTGAAGGGACTGATAATATTCTTAAAATGAATTGGCAATGGCATGTGTTACCCTGTAGCTTAAAGGGCTCTTGCACAACTTTGCGAGGAGTAGTATGATGAAGGCTGGTTTTGATAATATAGTCGCAAAGCGCGCCGATTGCGCAAGAGCCTCTACATTATCTACAACGTTAGGGAAGAATGAAATCCTTTTGCAACTTGAAATCTGTTTACTCCAACCTCAAGAAAGACAGGGTTGTTGTAGACAAAAACCCAAATCACTTTCTGATTTGCTAGCTTTTTTACGCTGGGTGTGGACTGTAGTTCATTCTGATGGTCAACGCTTGTAACTAACGCCCATAAATAACGCTTGTTACTAACGATTGTAACTAATGCTTGTAACTAACGCTTCTACCATACGCCAGTAACTAACGCCTACTTCTTGCTTCGTAAATTTTCAAGATTCTTTTTCAATCTTGATAATACTGAAATCCATTTTCTATCCCTGGTTCTTAGCTTCAAGGAAGATTGTTTTTCTGAAGCGCTGAAGATTTGCTCTTGTGCCGAATCATTTCAATTTCAAATAGGTTGTTTGAGAGTTAACGATTTTTTTAAGTTGTATGGAACTTCAACGAGCGTCATAATGAAATACAGGACATCTAGTTTAGATATCTTGATTAAACTTGGTTGTGATCGTTAATCTGGGCAATTCATTAGTGGGAAAGCTTTTGTTGCATTGTACGCCGTTGGATGTAACAAAAAATCGTTCAGACGCCATTGTAAATTTAGAGGAGTACCTGGAGTTTTACAGTTTGCAATTTTAGTAAACCGCCAGCCGAAATATGTACCTTAGATTAAATGTATATATTGCAACTTAATTGAAGCGTTGGCCTAGGATTCTACCTTGTAAGTTGTTGTAAAGTCTAGGCCAGTGCATGAAGAAAATCAATTTTGTGAGATTATATGCAATTCGTGTAGGAAAATGTGCGTATGATACTACTCCACTCAGCAACTATTAACAACTAACTCCCGAGGTCATGTGTCGAAGTGATTTATCGAAAGACCTGTCAACTCATTGGTCGACGGGAGAAAAGACTGGGCACCACCCTATTTCCAGGACTCGATCTCTCCAACAGAGGGGGGGGGGGGCAAAACTCTCCCTTTTCTACTCATGCTGTTTTTGAGAAATTTTAACGAGGGTTTGGCCTGTTATTTTCATAAGCACAACGCTCCTGTACACCTCAATGCTGTTTATGTGGTGCAAATAAGCCGATAGCCTTGGAAATATTACTCAAAATAAGCACCCAACCAGAGTTAAGCGATTTTCAGAGTTGTTTTTAAGAAAATCAAAGTTTAGAAATAATATAATTAATCTTGATTTACTTTTGACCTTCTGAAACTATAACAAATACAGTCAATGGAAAAGAAGCATTGAAATCATTCCCCATCACTGTGCATATCGCCATTCAAAGCCCCTGCAATGGTTCTAAGAAAAGTCATGGTCCTCCAAGGCCTAGACCAGTATACTACTATTGTCTAATTAATAATCTTTTTTATCATAATCTTGCGATATTTCTGGTATTGGTTGGTTAATTTAGTTGGTAAAATGTTTACTTCTTCAGCATTACATAATCTCGAATACTTTTTAATTTTTAGGAAACTGCGTTATTTCTTAAATTGGTGAAGTTGAAAGTAGTCAAAGGGCTGCGCAACAGACGAAACGCTAGCTACTGCAACAACGACTGCAGAACAGTACTCAACATCCGATACCATTGTGAAACTACAAGTTCAGCAACCGTAACTTGTAAGAAACCACCTTTGAAGAATAGAAGGCACATAACCTTCTACATATCTAACAAACTGGGCTGTTAGATATAAGTAATTTTTTCAACAGAACAACAAACACAATTTCATGTTAAAAATGAAACATGGCATACATAATTTAATACCATTCACAAAACGTTTTGAGGGGATAACAATAAAACTTTTTTTTTTCCAAAAGGGTAGGATCTATTGTTGACATTATCTTTGGTGTTAAACTGGCTGATAAATGAGATCTAAACTCTGTTATAGCTTTTGATGTTTAGAGGCTGGCCTAATTACCCATGGAAGCTAGGTAAGAAAGTAATGGTTACCTGAATTTGAAGAGGATTTGATCAAGTGTGGATATAGGGCTCTCAAGGTACAGAGAAAAAATGAAGGAATTATTAAGCAAAAGAGAATCTGGTGGATATCTGAAGGAGGTATAAGTGCAGTTATGGCTGTATGACACACAGGTAGACAGTGAGTTGAAGGTGAGCGGGAAAATAATTTCATAAAAATGTCTCCCAGAGCAACCCAGAAATATTTCACTCCCTATTCCCTGTGCCCCTTCATAACTACACAAATCATCATAACTACAATAAAAATTGATGTTACTTTTTATATTGAATAGCATATTACCGGCTTATAAATAAGTTATTTTTAGAACACGTAATACCAAAACAAATATTTTCCATTTTCCAGCTTGATGCTAGGTGTGTTTTCCCTGCAAAGCTTATCTCCTTTCTCAAATCAAGCAAAAGGAAAAACGTTTTGATAGGTTTTATTTTTTTAGACAACAGATATTATTTTTATCTTATGCCCTGATCATTAAGAATTCCTTGCACAACTAACACATGCGCCACAATACATGCACAGATTTGGACTGTTCCAGAATTCTTTGATTGCTTTTAACTACAGCTAAATATCACTGTACAGCTTCAGCAATTTGAAGGTAACATAATCAACAAAATCTGCACCTCACATTTATTTTATGAATGTCTTATCAATTTTGTTAAATTTTGAGTTGAAGTTTTTGAGAAGTTGCCTGTTAATATGGAAACAATTATGTTGAGATAAAATGTTGTTAATTTTTTTATAATTTAGATGGAATTATATTTTGATGTTTGTCAATTCTTGTGCCTTTCCAAATTTCTGTCTGCTTTTACAAATTTCAATATTGTGAACAAATTCTATACATTAATTAGTCTAGGAAGATAAAAATCAGCTTTTGAGATTTTGGCAGTGCATATAGATATTTATGTTGGGAGCCTGCTTGGGCCCATCTTACCCAACTCAAGACTTTATTTAACCATTTAATTTGCTATTTCAGATTTAAAACTTTTTTCTAGACACAACTATTTAAAAAATTTGTAGACACAACTAATTTGCCAAACTAAATATCTTCCATTCTTAATTAAAAAAATCTATTTACAGTTCTGATTAGCTAGTTCAATATCCTTTCCTTCCTCTGAACCTCATTCGCATGTCAACCTAATGAAATAAATAAGAACCACCTAAAGAAACTATAATTGTAGAAAATGTTAATTCATTTCTAAAAGCTTCTATTTGTAAAAGCCTTGTAAGTTAATGCATTTACTTGAGGTCAATCTAAAGTATTTTTTTAAGAAACCTAGATAAAACTTGTCTAGGATAAAACTAAAAGGATCTTAGGTAAGTTCAGGATAAAAAATCAAATAATTTTTTGTAGAAATAAAGCATATAGACAAAAACAATAAGAGAGGAATTTAACTTACCAATGAGCGTTTACATTCAAAGAATGTATATTGAATCTGTCTACATTCATCACTAACCCCTGTTGCTTCCGGGTGTAGGCACTCTCTAATTTTTTTACCTTCCTATAAGAAAGGATGTTATTGTCAGACAATATGGAAACAAATTTCTTATATACATTGAAGGATGTACATTGTATCAATATACCTTGAAAATGCATTATAAACATCTCTGGGTCTTGTGAACAAAGGTGAAAAATTTTGAAAAATTGAAACTGCAGGCTTAGAATCACATCCATTCAGAAATCTTGTGTTCTTGGGCTGAACAGAAAAATAGGACCGGTAAATTACTATTTACCCAACATTGAAAACAATGAGCATGACCTGATTTACACTGATATTGTCAAATGTTATTACCCCAAGGGTTATGGGCAGTAGTTATGAAGAACATTTATAAAAGAAATGTGCTTGGCTCATGAGGGGTCTTGCATGATCAAAACACAAAAATGCCTGAGTGGTAAAGTTGTGTGTATGCATGCATGTGTATAAACTATATATTGTAGGTAAGCCAAAAAATCTGGTAGCAAAACAAATTTCCTGTTCTCTAGCTTTGATAAAAGATTTTCTCACTATAAAATATGCACAAGTTATGATTGATACAGTTGACTCAGCTTATAGTCACTCCTGGTAACAGTCACATAAAATTAAGACCCACATGAGCAAACATGTTTGAATTAGCTTATTTACAGTCACACTGTTTACAATCATAAGTTTTCAAGAAACGATTGGTGTTACTATAACTGGAGTCTACTGTATTACCTTTTGGAAACAGTCACTTTGTGTGATACAGTCAATAAACTCTTTCCTAAGGCCATCACAGGAAGGATGCTTTTCTTTGAATTTCTTTTCCTCTTCTTCAACATCAAAGTATGACATGGCTAATTGTAATGTGACCCAGCTGTAATGTATTAGGAAAATAGTTGCTATAATGCAAATAACCTTAAACTGAAAACATGATTTACTTGATTTTGGTCTTCCAGTATGCGGTACAAGATAGGCCTTATGTTAAGAGTCTGCTGAATAGAAGGGTTAAGACCAAACCTAATTCTCATAGATTGACAAATATTTTTCTGAACAATGTAATATGTCTTGGTCTCGCTATTTCGAAGAACAAAAATCTTTTATGCCAATTCATTCTCCTCGTAATCCAGGGCCGCCAGAGCCAGGGGGGCCACGGGGGCACAGGCCCCCTGTTTACAAAAAGTGTAAAAAGTGCCCCTTTTTGATAAACAAATTGTGTGTATTTTTTCAATGCCAGATATTCTGCCTTAAGAAACTAAGTAAAATAACATAACTCTAGGCGTTGTTGGAGGACCATTCATTGAAAATTCCTTAAATGTTTATTTGGTCTTGACGCAAAAAACTCAAGCTCCTGTAGTGAGTGAATGATATGAACTGTGAAGGAGACTGCCATTTTCACGAGAAAATTTCCTTAGTATATCAAGTCCCCGGCAGGCACAGTCAGTTGGTGCAAAGTATATCATGTGTGTTCCTGAAAGTAGAAACTGGACCCCTATCTCTGATTCTGAGTTAAGTAAAATGTACCCTATTCTGCGACTTTGCCAAAATTGTGAAACTCTTTACACTGAGATTATTGAAGCTTGAGCAGGAATTTTTTATACCAATTCATGTTAGAACCATTCCTTTTCTTAAATTCATGTCTAGGCAAGTTAAAAAGCAGAGTTCACTAAATTTGATTTTAACAACAATCCCTTGTGGTTCTTAATGTATATTAACAAAACCAGACAGCTGCAAAACTATAACTGCAACATATTGCTTACTTCACAACATTGTGTTAGATGTTTTTATGAAGACATGAGAAAGTTGTGCCCCTGCAATGAGTACATGCTAGCAGTAAAGGGTCTTTAAACAAAGACTTAAATTTCTTATCTAGAATTAGAACAACATACAAGATTAGATGCTAAATTTGTTGTACTTCAATATAATTACTGCCCTTTTGTGTTTCCTCTGACTGATTAAAAAAGCAATTCTATTTTCAAGATTCTATGTCCCAGAATTCTAGTTTTCAGACCACCCTTTCTCAGAGTTTTTCGGAACTCACATGTAATACATTTGACCAACTGATTGAGCCCGCCGGGATAAAGTCTAAGGAGAGTTAAAAACTTGTTTCTTTCATAAGACTGATGAGATGAACCTAATCAATGTTGCAAATTGAATTTTCTATGGCAGTGAACAATGTGTCCCCACCTTCAGCCGATTGCATAAAGGTTACTCAAACATAAAAATTTGTAGCTTTTAAAAAATATTCTATGGAGGCGAACAAATTTATGTGTTTAAGTGGCGATAGGAAGGCTCGAATACCAAGGGGGACTAAATTGTATATGAAAGTAAGAAAAATTAAAATGATTATTGGAATGGGCTCTTGATAATCATAGAGACTGAAACTTTGCTTTGAAAGGAAGAGGGACTGGAATTGGCTTTGAAGTATGACTGGAATTCGAAAATTCCATTCAGTTCATAATTTGGATTGGATTCGTTGGTATTTGTTGAGTATAATGCACCTGCCACAAGTATGAAAGAAGGATGTGTGCCTGCTTCTTACCCGGGGCCAAATTCACCTACAATGCAAATTATAAGGAAAACAAGTACAGCTTATTGTAATAGAGGTATAAATCATAGATGGAAGGAAGATTTACACTCTCAAAAAAACTTGAAGGCCATGAGATATGAAGCTATATAAATAATTATAATCAAGAGTGCGTGGTCCCTAAATGGAGTAAATAGCCATGTCTGCATTCAGCAAAGGTAGTTCTCACCATGTCCAGCATATCAATTTTTTCGGAAAAATTATTCATGCCCTTTTTATTCGTTTCCCCCCCCCCCCCCCCCCCCCTCTGTTCAAACCTGCGTCCGGCGGCCCTGAATCTGAAGAGCTTTTATTGGTAAATATTGAAATTCAAGTAAAAATGACGCATAGATTAGAAAAGTTATTTTGACCAAAGTTTGAAAGTTGTATGCTTCAAATTCACGATCATAAACAGCAAAAAAGTGCACTGAAAGTAAACATATATAGCCTAAAAATCTTCCCAAACTACAAAAAATTCAAACTATAAAACACTAACTATAAAATACTTTCGAAAGTATTCAAGCTTCAACTCTTACCGAGCTAGTCTTCAGTCTTGAAAGCTTAGAACGTCAAGCTCACGCGGCCATTTCCCTAGTATGATATCGAGGCTCCATTGGGGGACTTCGAAAATGCGTGAATAACTTCTGACTATGGTATAACGAAGTGTGCTTCATAATTTTGTAAAATTTGCTACTGATACATAATTGTAAAACTTCTGACACCATCCGTTGTATGAGCGATTGACCGAGCGAATAAACGACACGTTTTGATACACAAAATCAATTCCGTTTATTCCATCCAAAGCTAAGACGTCCTTTTATAGGTACTAAACAGCCTTTCACAATCACTGTTACGCCATTAAACTATATATATATGAAACGAAACCTCGAGTGCTTTCACAAGCCACTCAGGTTGAATGTCATCAGCCCTTTCTTAGCCTTCCATGACCGTTCTTTGTGTGTGTGCGAGTGAGTGTCTTCATGTTTGATAGCAGTGGCCTTTGCACCACGCTTCTCTCTAACTACCCTGGGTACCAGAGCCACAAAAATTAAAATTAAAAAATGATGCATTATTTTTTAATTTTAATTTTTGCGGCTCTGGTACCCAGGGTACTCTCTAACTAACTCTGTTTCTCCTTACTCTACTTTATATAACAGCATTACAATATAGCAAACTAACATCAATAATTGCCGCTGTTATTGTCGGTATCTATCGTGCAATACGTAAATGAACTAGTAGGAGGTGTTAGATATATTAGGATACGCGGGGGAACTTTGTAGGGTAAAAGGGCATGTAAAATATTACGTTACCGAAAAACATGAAAAACTAAGACGTGACAGACTAATATATCCTAAACAAAGAGAAGCATGAACAAATATAAGCATAAACACAAGACTGTCCTAAAATGAAATAAGAACCTATATTACAATTTTCTAAACCAGGCATTTAAAGCAGGGCCTATGCACCCCCCACCCCCCCCCCCCCCCCCCCCCCCAAGAAAATAGCTATAAATTTTTTTTCCTTTCTTTCCTATTAACAATCTCATTTATTCCTATTCAAACAAGGGTAGCCCCAATAATTTGCCCTTCATACGGTACTGTAAACAAGAGAAATTATCTCCAATAGAGCTCATTTTTCCTAAAATTAAAAAGCTTCTCTAGAATCACCCAGCTTGGCAATCAACATTACAGCATGCTATCGATATCAACGTTTTTGAAATAAAAATGCATTCACATGGTTTTGATGATTCATGAATTATAATCTATAAATTAACTAGGCAATGATGAGATCCGTAATATGACTTGTACTTTCCTTTTACGCAGTTTTGATATCTTCATAAATGATACATTTGAATAAGGTCTATCTTATCAAAAGGTACCATTGGGGATACATAGAGAAGTGATTACAGTCGATTATACAATTGATGCAATACCATCGACAGCCCGAAAAATTTATTTCAAGAGTTATTACAAGATATTACTGCCATCTGTGATGGGATGAAAAATACCTCAGAATACCTCAGTAACCATTAACTAAAAGGAAGAGCAATCATGTAAACGATTTTTTGAGTTATTTTCTGGGAAAATATTTTTCTCTTTTTAAGAAATAACTCTGAAATAATAGTTCTAGAAATAGTTAACCTTCAGAAATCAACTTAACAGATTTTATAATGATGCAAATTTTTGGATATTAATTATTTTCATTATAACCAATCACGTCGGAAAAAACATGGATATAAATTTTCAGTTACTTTCGGTCATTATCTGACGTTTATGCTCTAATTAGTGTCGGAAGAAAAAAAACTTTTTCAAATTTATATCTAAGGAGTGTCGAACAGTCATTTTACGCTATTTCGTGCCATCTATAAATTAATCTTTTATTGAAGTTGTCGTTAATTTTCTCTGGTTACTTTTATATAAAAACGCAATTTTGCATAAATTAGACTAACACGTTGAGCATTCGATATTGACTAAATATAAAGCAGGCCAGCAATGTCTATCGTATTAGTTGATGGCAGTAGGAAAGAGCTATATATGATAAACATATGTGCTTTTTGATACATAATTGTTTAAGATTTAATTTCTTCAAGTTTCTCTAATGTTTCTAATAAGAGAAGCCTGAAAGAAATTCATAAGTTTGCTGAAATCAATTAATCGATAATTTTTATTATCATCATCTTTTTCCTCAAAATAATGCATTTTTATGGCCCTTTACCAACATCTCATTTAACATTTGTTTGTAAGAAATAAAATCCACCAATTTACTGCCCATAAACAATTTCGGGCATATAACCATTTTTGCAATATTGACAACAAAGAGCTGTTGGATGCAGTTTAAAATTTCTTAAAGGAGTTCAAAATCATTACCATTAACAATTATTTCTTTCATATACCGAGTTTTCTTCTTAGATGCATTCATAAATGGGAAAAAGCATCTGAAATGAGGTTCCTGTCAAGATATCTTACTAGATTGCTTTTCGTATGATATTTATCTTGCTGGCAGAGAGAAAAGGCCATTTACAGAGGCATTTGAAACTGTTCGTTTCTTCAGGGGGAAACCATTTCTTATTTCATCCATCAGTTTATCAACAATACACGTCTCCTCGACTTCAAGTTGCTTTGGCTTTTTCAACTTTACCTTCTCGCCAGGGCCATTTTGCTTTTCTTCCATTTCTTTCTTTTTGCGTTCCCTTTCAAGTCTCTTTGCCTCCTGAATTCTGAATTGTTCATTTTCCTATAAAATTGAAATACATACGTTCAAGTCAAATACATTTTCTAAGACAGGCAATGTGCACATAAATTCCAATTTCATCAAAATTCCAATTCCAATTTTTCGTCTCTATTTTGGCTAATCAAACTATGCTATAAAGAAAGGAATTCAAACGTTGCTCCTCGTTCTCATTCTCGAGCTTTATTTTCAAATTCTATGAAAAAGTGTTCTTAACTATCTTGTTTGTGGTTCAAAGAATGGTTTTCTTAAACAACATGTCACAAGTTTTGTATATAAATGCCTAAAAACCCTTGAAATTTAAATCCTGTCTCTACCTTCTATGAAATAAATAGCTATCGAAAAATAGAAAATCATATGTCATGTCATCAAAGCATGCGAGTCGTTATCATCATGATGCAATGCAAAAAAGTCGTCAGCCAGTTCACAAATCTAAAAATTCCCGGTGTAAAATGTACACAAAATTCAACAGAAGCTGTGTTGGGTGAAGCTCACATTTAAAACGAACATAATGTATCCCAAGCAGAAAAAAGTTTATTGATAAGCTTTCAAAAAGTTTCCCTTGTTTTTATCGAATTTAATTTCTTGCAAAACACGCCACCATGTCTAAACCAATCAAGTGAAACATGCAATAAGGGGATTTCATGAAAAACTGATTCAAACATACCTTTCTTGCAGTATTGATATTGTCACAAAACTGTTTGAATATTGAAAACACTTCTTCTATCTTGAACCTGTTTGGATCTTCACACAAATAATTTGCGAAGTCTTTCTCCAATTTTCGTATTTCTTTCAAACTTTCTTCAAATTCTCCAACATCGTTCAATGCCGCCTTAAAAAGATATTCATTTTTTAGTTGTGTTATCTAAATTGTTTTGAGCGATTATTTCTTAACTTTTTAGTGTCATTATATTTTTGAGCATACGGTTAGTGAATTGGGATCATATCATTTATGACCAGTTAGTAACACCCCTTCAGAAACAGTGAAAATTTCCTTGGGAATAGCAAAAATTTTGCACTTTTGTATAAAGTAACAAAAACTTTCGTTAAATAATTGAAAAAAATTAAAATGCCTGGTTTCCTTTGGTTAGAAGTTTTGCTATAAATCAATTTATCAATGAAGCCAAAAGATAAGAACTTGTTCAGTAATAACAGACAAGAACTAAAATCCACTCAAAAGTGAGTTCCAATTTCTGGCTTTAAATCAATAAAATACACCATGATATAAATTAGAATTTCTACCTCGACTGTTGATTCATACTGCTCCTGTATCTCTTGGTCCGCTTTCTTCAAGCCATTCTGAAGCTTGGCAACACTGTTTTGTAGCTGTTTAACCTCTCCTTCTAGATATTCCACCGTCACTCTAGAAGCAAGCATGTTTGACATTATCAAACGACGTCATAAACATATTGAAATCCTCTTCAAAAACATCAATTTTCCATGTAAGGGATAACGTGTAGGCCAATGAAAGCTTTGCAGAATGGCTAACATCTTGTGGCAGAATATATTAACCCAGCTACTTAGCTGTATCCCCAGTCAGGTGATTTATCCCCTAGAACAAACAACCATAGCTTTGAAGAAGAATGGTTTCAAATCGTGGATCTCTGACTTTGTAAATATTTGAAATTTCCTTGTTTATTGTCGTATCCTAACTGTTTTGAATCCATTGTTCTGATGTTGCTTATTAAGCAGAAGGAGAGGAGATGGAAATATTTTGCTCAACTTCAATGCAAAAATAATTATTAGTCATTCTTAGCTTCTAATTGGTATGCGAACCCATTACAAATTTTTAGAGTATCTCTCATTTTGTTGAAAGCATCTGATAATTTTGATAGCACAAAGAGTTGCTGAATATTTGAAAAAATTATGTGGCTGATTGATGGAAAAATTGGGAACAATGCACGACCATTTAACCTTTCAGTTTGATTTAAAAAGTCATACCTATTTTTTAAATGTATGGAATTGACAGTCTTTGAGATGAATAAGGGGAAAACCCAATGCTTGAGGTATGCTCGTTGATCTCATGTCGCAGCTCAAAATGCTTGTCACATATTTTCAACGTTCCTCCATTCTTTTAATATATTAGTTGCAGACAAAGTAAACCTTCAAATTTAAGGCACTTACTTGCAAGCTTGATCAATCTCAGGAACTGTTGCTGGAAACTGTAAGAGCGCTTTCTTCTCTGCTTCAATTACCTTGAATATAAATCAAAGTCTCAACTTTCTTATCAACTGTATTCAGATTCTCAGATTTTCTTATGAAGATTTATGAAGATTTAATTGACCTTGTAAAAGCTGCACAATGGTCAAGATGCAAAGTTCCAGAACTGCTAATTTTTGGACCACCAACGTCAATTAGGTACTCACTTAATCATTCTTTCACATAAAACAATGTTTGTTTAGCAGAAAATGCCGTAAGATGTTAGAAAACATATTTCTTTATCTGTACTGTTCTACATATTTAATATCATCTTTATTTCGGGACGAGGAGAGAAAGGAAGTTGGGGGTATTTCAGAAAGGAAACTAAGCATGTTCGTTTTGCCTTTTAGTAATTCAGGTGTATAATTTTTTCATTTCAGGCAAGTTTAGTTTAATTGCAAAGAATAATATTCGGTGAACTGCACCTGAACAATGAAATGCATGAGGTTCATCCGAGGTTTATTTGCTCTAGTGTCTGTTAACTTTAACAACGAACTGATTTTGAAGGCCTGTGCATTGCCAGCATGAGAGCCCTAAAATGCAAACGAGATTTATCTCAGTGTTTTTAACTCAAGGTACTTCAAAAGTAAGTTGTATCATGCAATAACAGCAATGGTTATCTTTGAAATAATGACGAGAATTGGAACTTACATAATTGAGAAAATTTCCAACTTTCAGAATAAGATTCAACAATTCTGGAAGAAGTTCGGAATGAAGCAAATCTGTTGAAGTAAGGAAATTTAGATCAAACACGATTGGAATAAGTTTAATGAAGGCACTCAAAACTCATGGTAGGGTATTAAGAAAAAGTAGAGAAAACACGATAAATTTCGCAATTTCTAAGTAAACATTTGTAAAAGGCTTCAGTTTATTTGGTTGATAGGTCATTGATGTGAGAAAAAAATTTCTAACTGAGGCTAAACCAAAGAGTGAAACAGAAGTCAAAATTAGGGATAGATAGAAAGCCAAGTTTGACAATGAAATTTATAGAGTTCATGTCAAAGGAAGGCTTGTGAGGGAAGGAAACTTTGCAAAATAGGACAGTTTGTGGGCTCTTATATTAATCAAAAGCAACAGCCAACCTGTTATTGTCTTCTTCAACACTTGTATCTGTGGTGAAAGAGTCTCTTTGTTTGAAGCAAATTCATCTTTGAATATCATACAGTCAATTCTTAATTCATACCTAGGAGAAGAACACCTTGAAATGCCAGAATACATTCTTAGGCCTCAAAATAAAGTGCATATCAAAATGAATGTGTTGAAAAAGTTTATAAAATCAAACAATGTCTGTATAAGATCATTAAATCAACTGAAAACCAACATCGTAATGCTGTGAACCTTATCACCCTATAACTCTCAGTTCTTTCTACATTGAAGATGCTAATATTTTAACCACAGATAAATATTTTTAAAAAAGCAGCTCAAAAATCAAATAATTTTTCCTAAAACAATGTCGAAGAAGAGCAGTATCTGAGCTAGTTACAAATAGGGTGGCAAGGAAATCTTATTCAGATAATCGTTTTTCAGTACCTTGTTACATCTATGAGACCAATGAAAAATAACTCTGCTGCACCGAGCTTACTTTTGTCACCGTCAAAGGACTTCAATATGTCGAACTGCAAGAAAGCAACTCGTGATTATCAGTACTCTTGAAGTATTCAATGCACAATTGATTTGAGCAGATTTAGTTGCATTTTGATTTTCTCGTGAATATCTGCAGCATTTGTCTTCTGCTAAATTCATATTTCTTGCAGAGGCTGACTGACAGTCAATAGGCGAAATATGAAAGCAGATACGTTGAAACATACACAAGAAATAACAAAAAGGTTCTACTAGGGACAATGTACGAACCAATGAGGAAATCTTGGAGCCTAGTTTAGACCAACCAGTGGGGAAATCCTGGGGCCTAGCTTAGTGGAAGAATTTCCCCTATAGTTTCTAAGAGTCCTTGCTATGACAGTGTTGCCATGAAGGGGGGCTCAGGAGGGCTCAGCCCCCTTGTTGCAATTCAGAAAGTTCGTGTTTGTTTTAATGATTCATAAAAAGCAGCCCAGCAACCCTTTATTATGCTATGTGTTAGCAACCCTTTATTTATGCTATAGATTTCTCCTGAACGAGCAGTATCTTATCAGTGTTTTGGTTACATTGAATAGTTTAAATGATTTCTATACACAACAGAGAGAAACACAAATACAAGTATATTGAGTGTGGTCTTGTGTTTGCTTGAAAAAAACTGTTTAAGAAAAGTAACATTTGAAGGTATACTTACCTCGCTGCTATCCGGAAGCATCTTCTTGAGACATTTCAAACGATCGATCTCAAATTCTTTGTTGTTTCCTTCTTTAATCAAGTCTAGGATATTCTGTGTGGGCCTAAGTAAGAATTTAGTTTTCTTGTAATATAAAAAATTGTTTATAGGGTTTGGTGCAAAATAAATTACTATTACAAAAACATGAATTTTTAAGTCAAACATTATTGTGGCTAGTAAAGAAAAAGTCGTGAACCTTCACCATGTAATGTGTGTATGCTAGAACAATCTTAGGCCAGTTTCAACAATGATTCGAGATATGTTATGAAATTGATTTCAATTAAATTAGCAGACATTCCTCGCCAAAGGTCTTTTGAACATCCAGTTGCTAGATTGTTGTTTTGAAAATTTAATTGTTTCCCCTAGAACAGGCCGACAATGCACCATCTCCCCCCCCCCTCTCTCCCCCGAAACGAAGCTGCGTGTTTTGTTAAATTTCGTAGTTAATCATCAGTCACAAAGTTAAATACTATAGTTATCTGAAACGAAGCTATTGGACCTCAACTCAATAGGCTTTAGCATTTGATTATAAGATTTAGCCAGAGCTATCGAAATCTGGTAAAGCTTTGCTTATTCCAGATGCATTAAGATACTTCAGAAGATCTCAAACAGGCAATGGTAAATTTTTCATAAGTTTCATGAGAATATCAATTCAAGCACACTTATTAGTCAACAAATGTTAAGAGCACATGCATTTATGTTAAATGATGCAATGCTGGTATAAGTTTTTCGTGCATTGAAACGCAATCTGCAAAAGTCATCGAGGATGTTTCATAAAGCGTTTGAAGACTCCATTGATGCCTTTAAAAACATTTTTTTCAGTCATGTAGAGCAGAAAAATACAGACAAAAACAACAAACCGTTTGAACTGCTTCAAAAAAATATTCACACTCAAGCTTCTTTTTTGATCCAGCAGGCAAATCTGAACAGGAAGAAAAATAGACGATGTACTTCATCAAACACACATGGTACAATTAATTAATGCTTAAACAAAAATGATATATTTGGGAATAATATATCAATATATAGGAGAATAATGAAAGGAAGCACCTTGAAGTGGGAATAGAAAATTTTTTAACTCTGTAAAAACTGCAAAAGAAAGTAGCTCGAATATATAGGAGAAAGTGCTTTGAATATACCTTTTGATACAGTCAAATCTTAGTTTGCCTTAAGGAAAATTTATCTTTGAAAAGGAATCACCAAATATTGTCTACAAATTCCTTTGCACCGCAAAATCTCGTTGATTTTTTGTAGAATTTTCTAGCAAGCGGTCCAGAAAATTCAAGAACTCTAAATCAAGTAAAGACATATCTCATATATAGACGAGTCAAACATCAGCTATGGTTTTCAATTTCAATTGTACTTTGTATCAATTTGACTTATGTATTTTGATCATATCTGTTTGAAAATTATGAAAATGTATTTTACTTGTTATTAAGTTTTCTACAGGGACATTAAAAACAGTTTTTCCGCTGAATTGTATCTTGGTTTAACAATATGAAAATTTTCATTACGAATCATTACGAACAAAAATTTATCACGGCTACTCTATATTGTGTCTCCCCTAAAAAAAAGGAACAGTGTTTCTCTCATTCTTGCGAGTCTCCATAACATTAAAAAATGTTGTCTTCTATAGAGCAATTGACGTCCGTGATATCTTATAACAACATTTATCATATAGTGCAGTCATATATTACCTTACCAATATTCATCACGAACTGCCAAAGGTATGACCAAAACCAAAGGTAAACTTTTTAATTTCTTACCTCTCTTGGAGAAACCTTCTTCTCTTCTCTTTTATTTGTCTTGTCTTCAATCCTTTGCTTGAAAAGTTCTTCTTCAATTTTGAAATCAGGCAAAACACCATTTATTTCACCAACTTTCTCCCAAATGCTGGAAGGACTTAGAAGCAATGGCGGTGGAATTTTACTCCACTGAAGCTTTTTCATTTTCGATTTCGGGGCAACCGGTGGGGCAACATTCGAATAATCAACCGCGTGCACAACTGTAAACCCCAAGGGAGATGGAGGGGGCCAGCCTTTCATTGGTGGTGGAGGTGGTGCATCACCCATCGGTGGTAGCGGTGGTGGAGGGCCTCCTCCCATCACTGGAGGTGGTGGCGGTGGTGGAGGGCCTCCTCCAATCATTGGTGGCGGTGGCGGTGGTGGTGGAGGGCCTCCTCCAATCATTGGAGGCGGTGGCGGTGGTGGTGGAGGGCCTCCTTCCATCACTGGGGGTGGTGTTGGTGGTGGAGGTCGCGGTCGTGGTCGTGGTGGAATATCTCCAAACATTGGTGGAGCTGGTGGTGGTGGCGGTGGTGGCGGTGGTGGAGAAATTCCTTCTATCTCTGACATATTTGACGATAGTGGCGGAATTTCTCCCGTAAGACAAGTAGCTGATGGTGGAAGCCTTTCTCCTATCACTGGTGGATATAGCGATGGTTGAGGAGCTCCTCCCAACTTTGGTTCAGATGGCGATGGAGGAGGAGCTCTTATTAAAATTGGTGAAGATGGTAGTGGTAAAGGAGCTCCTCCCATAGTCATTAGAGGTGATAGTGGTGGAGGAATTGCTCTCAACATTGGTGAAATTGGAAATGGAGGAGAAATTTCCGTTGTTATTGGAAAAGCTGAAGGTGGTGGAGGAGCTTCTCCCGTAATTGGCGGTGGTGGTGGTGGCGGTGGTGGCGGTGGTGGAAGAATCCCTCCCATCATTGGCGGAGGTAGTGTTGGTAAAGGAATGCTTTCTATCATAGATGTAGGCACCTGTTGTGGAGGAGCCCATTTAGTACTTGTCAGAGGTAGCGGGGATGGAGGACTTGACAGTGGTGATGGTAGCGGTGAGCAACTCTGGAACATTAGAGCTGCTGGTGGAGGTACTCCTGGCGGAGCGTATTCCTCCATTGCAGGCAGAGATATTGCTGATACAGCTTGCATGTCCTCTGCCCCGAATTTAGGGGGTTGTTGTGGCGGTGCCACATCTCTCACCAAAGAAGAAAACGAACTGCCTCCTTTGACAATGGATGCGGAAGGCTGCAGAGTTGTTTGAATCTCTTCTCTTTCTGTAGGTGGTAGAATAATTGTTTGATCGACGGTTGTTCGATGGGTTGATGGTGATACTGAAGGCAGCGGCTCTTCTTCTTCAGCATTTTTTGAAATAAATGCTTGAGGATGTGGGGTTAGCGGTGTTGGGTCACCATCTGTTGGCGGCAGTAGAGATGGTAAAGGCGGGGGTGGAGCTGGTTGTGTCTGTTGAGGCTCTGGTCCTGGTCCTATCATTTGGTCTTTTGGTTGAGCTGGTATTTGATCTTTTGATAAGGCTAGTAAAGAACGTTGCTGTCCTTGACCCATTGCTAGAAGCGATGGTTGGGATGGAGATGGTGCTGAAGGAAGCTCTGGTTGCGGTTGTGCCTCCAAAAGTGATAACGGTAATGGTACTTCTATGTCTTCTTTCATCGTCACTAGAGGTAGTGAAGCTGGTTGAGATGATAGAGGTGGTTGAAGTTCTATTACATCTTTGGAGACTTTTGGAAACATTTGTGTCTCATACACTAACTCATTTTCGTCTACTTGCGTTGACACCGTAGTTTTACTTCGTTCGGTTAAAGTTATTGTTGTCGAGGCGTGTGTCTCAGTATCCTCATCTTCCATGCGAGGTGTCTGTTTGTTTTCTTTAATATAAATTTCTACATTAGCTGTAGCTTTAATGTTCTCGATTTCCTTTTGATCTGTTGATACTGCTAGACGTCGTGCGACTTCTTCGAGTGTTCTCCATACTTTCTCTGCCAAAGGGCTGTTGTTGTCAATGGCAAAGAGGGATTGTACGATACCAGTAAGGCTAATGATGTGCGGCTTATCCACAACCTAAAAGCAAAGCATTGCTTTTTATGACCATCAATGCCAGATTCATTTTTATTTAGAAACTTGTTAGTTCAGATCTCCATTTCATTCTTCATGATTATGATTTATATAATTGCTCTTGCAGTTGATTTTTTCATTGTTTTTATTCCTAAAATTACTGATCAAAAACATTGAGTACGACAAGCTCTTGAAAACATCAATAAAAAATCAACGACGTAAGCAATCTCTTTGTAGAATATATAAGCAAGAAATGTAGAGAAAAGCAAATTTCTAATCTGCTATAGTGCAAGCTCAAAATAATCCTATTACTCTGATTCGAAATAAGCAGTCTCGAACAATTCTGATCTTTCTCATCATCATCAAAATTACATTTAACGACCCATTGCGAGTCGATACAAATGTCTACGCATCTATCGTTTGCTGAAATGGTTTCTACATAGACTGTGAAAGGATTCTGAGTTACACTGATTAACTATGTTATCAGGCAAGCTATTCCAAATGGGTATGATGGAAAAGAAACCCCACAGTGTCAAAAATTGAGCAGGGCGCCAGAAAAAGACAGAGCTTACCTCCAAAAACAAGGCATTGAAAACTTGCATTGTATTGTTGAGGTCCACACCATCGTCACTGGTGAGATCTTCTTCATCCTGGAGTCTCTGTTCTTCAAAGACATCGAGTTGAACTAGCAGATCGGCATCGTCTACTTCAGATTGGCTGAAAAAGAAAATGAAATAAGTAATGAAAAATGTTCACTCCTGATTATAGCTAGATCAGAAACAAACATGAAGATTTTAAAAATACAGAAGAGGTATGAAATAGGTTTAATTCCATAGACCTCAGGTATCAAATTTTTTTTCTTGATCAATATTGTCTTGATTCTTGATTCAACGAGGCTTTTTCCTTGTAAATGAGCAAAAAGTTTAAAGCCTAAACATCGTCCTATTTTTTCTTTCCTTGTTGATTCTTTCTCTTCACTGCTAAATTAACTAATCATTTTACATATAACAGATATTCATGTGAACATCAGTTCGGAAATTTATTCATTTGCCTTTATATTCACTTATAAATATTTTCATTTATTTATATTCTCTGTACAAGATTAAGCATCAACTACAAAACTGGAGAACAATTTTGAATCGAAAATGTCTTTGGTGATTCAGGGATGGCCTAGATACTACAATCATTGTTTAAATGTTTCTCTTAAAGACCGGTAAAGACTTTGTAGAAAGTGAGAAAAAAGAAAAGTTGTCAAATTAAGAAACGAAAGGTATAAAATCAACGTGATAATTGTTCAACAGGCATATGACAGTAATTACAAAAAAGGATTCAATCGCTTACTGCAACTTGTCAACAACATCTAGCAATCCAAGACCTAACAAAGAAACAAAACGAAATATCAAACACAAACAGATTCACCAGAAATTATCGCTTGCAGCTTTATTGTTTCTGTTGTGAGAAATATTATTGTGGTGCCTACAGGTTATTGTAAGTATAACAATGCTGATTGCTCGATGCATGGAAAAAACATTGTTGGACAGGCTGATAAACTGGACATTTTCTAATTTTCAAAATTGCATCGGATCAAGCAAACAGAGAGACTATATAAAACACCGAAAGACTATATATAGGTGTTGTTGAGTGAGGTCATGCCCATTTTAAAGTAAAATTTAGGTTGCAACTTTTCATAGTGTAAAGTTTGGCGACAGATGTTTAGGTGAATCAAACTATACTCACCAATCAATTCATTTCTGATACAGACGCGTTTATCAAAGCCAAGTGTCGTGAAAAGAATTGCATTAACGAAAGACAGACAGGTTGTTTGATACTGAGACAGGTCAGAATCTTTCAACTCGTTTATGATAAGACTGAAGCGATCTCGGTAGCATTTCTGGACCTAGAAGCAAAAGTTAGTGTATTAGTAACCAGTGTTTAATTTGTGGGATGATTTTGTCTTTTTTTGCTTTTGTTAAAGGTGTTTACATTGGGGGATTTAGAAAGAAACTTTTTCAATCAGAAGTGTTATAGTGCTACCAAACTAGAAATCACAAGATATTTATGGGACAAGTCACTGAGCATTTTCTTTGCCTTTTAACACATCGTAGTGAGATTATCATTCAATCGTAGTGGATTGGTGGAATCCATTGCCAAAATTTCAATATTTTTGGTCAGTAGCGGAAATTCATTTTCAGGTGAGGGAGCGAAACCTACAAAAACAAGCAAATTCGCCAACAAATGACAAAAAAACCGACATAAGCGACAAAAAATGTTTAAACCAACAATTTATCAAAATCTGGGGGGGGGGGGCGACCGCCAAACACAAACCACTGCAATTTCCGCCACTTTCATTGGTTTTGTAGAGTTAACGTCCACCCATTTTGATTAAAAGGTATGTTACCTTTTACATTTGAGTAATATGTAGTAATATTTGTAGTAATATCTGCTGTACTGTGAAAGACATAATTACATCTCTGAATTATTGGCATTAGATTAGTTTTTTCTGGAAGAGAATGTCAGTGGAGGAGCTTGACTTCATTTCTATTAAGGCAAAGGGCTTTCTATGTTGAGAAAACATTCTAGACAAGACACTGATAGCTGATAAATAGAAAAAAGTGAAAAGCTGCTAAGAAGCTAGAGAACTATGAAGTTCAGGGCAAATTATTATTGAGGTCGCACTTGAGAGAGAGCCAAAGAAATCTTCTGCTAGGCTTAGTCCTAGAATTTCAATTTATATACATATGATGTTAAAAACTGGCTTTTAGTTTGCAAGGTCTTCATAACTGGAAGTTAGTTTACAAGGAAAATATAAAATTCATACGATTATGCTTTTTAATAACATTCATGAAAAACTTTACAGCTTCCTATAAAGTCATCGACAGAAAAATAACGAACTCAAATCTGTTTGCGTTGATCGCTTCGCAAAATCGACTTACCTTATAAAAATCCAAAGAATCAAGCACGAGGTTGTAGCCATTCTCACTATATAATAAAACTGATGCAAGCATCTCCAATATCTGCTTTTTCATCATGGTATTCTTTGTATCCATTGCTAAAAAAATAAGAAATATTACAGTTCCATTAATTGGCTATTTATAAGATGGAACACTAAAACGGCGTGGGTCCGGGAAAATGTTTCATGGCTTTTTTGTAACCAATTTCCAAACATACAATTTTGAACGTTCAGGCTAGTAGACCCAGTGATATAAAATGTGTGGTTTTTTACCGACATGTTTCTTTTGTTTGATATCATTTTTCCTTCCGGTGATGACGTTTTTTTAAGTTCATATTTCTCCTTGGAAACAACAATCAAACAAAGTTAGGTGAATCGAAAGTTAGAAAAAAGCTGTTCATAAGATTCTCGATATCCTGTAACGAATAATGTGTATTAGAGACGACAACAGGAACATCAATGAAAGACGAGAAATAATTCAACACAACAAGAAATGTTTGTTAAATGTAAAGTCTATTGCAGAACGAAATCGTCAATGAACTTTTAGTTCTGGTTATATCTGGACAAGTTTTGCACCGTTGAGAGCAGCCAGACTTTAAGGAAGCAACACATATGGCTGTTGTATGATTAGGTCAGGGTAGGGGCCACTGATGCCCATGCTCTCCAATAAGTTTCAAAGACTGATTTTAAAATCCCCCACAGTCAAATGTAATTTAAACGTTGTTGAACTATCGAACCAATAAGTTAAAATAATAATATTTCCAGTGTATTATGAGGTACAAAATTGCCTTTTCATTCTTACTTAAAGCTTTTATATTTCTCATTAACATGGGTCTGTAAAATACTTTATAAAAAATGACACAAAGACAAGTATTCTGTTAAAACAGTAATGATACGTTACCTAGAGTCAACTTGTGCACCATTTCGCCATTATCAGACACAAACTCCATCCCAATTTTTGAATTCATGACAGCTTTGATGCAACGAACCAACTCTAACTGCAATACGGCGTCTACAAATTTGATGTATGAGCGCTCACTCATTTGGCGAAGGGCAGAAAACATGACTTCCAGGCCATCGTGAGCAAGAAACTCTGTCATCCATTCTGCATCACAAATTTCCAGCTGCCGACGTAAGGCCGTGTAGTTCTTTGCTGTTGGTATAGTCAAAAACTTAATCACCAACTCAGAGTCCACATTCCAATTTATTTCACTGAGGTTGTTCAATAACTCATCTTCTTTGTCCTTGCCGTCTGCTTCATCGCTGGTGAATTTCTTTTTCACAATCTCCTTCCAGCTGATTATTTTCTTCATTTTCTTTTACTCAAAACTATGACATTAATAAAGCAGTTTCTCCTTGGGAAAATCACCCACTGATAAAATTTGAATGATTCCAGCTACTGGGTTGGTTGGCATGCACGTTGCTGTGGTAGTTGTCACAGATTTAGTGTTTCCTATCTGATCAAGATAACAGCATATCTGCGAAAATAGCCAATAGGGAGATTCAGATCGAAATGTCGATAGGTGGGAAAACCTCAAAAATCAAATTCTATTCATTTTTGTTAAGAAAGCTTGGTAACCCTGTCAGCAACAGTTACAAGTTATTAGCAAATCAGTATTTGTTATCTCATGAAAAGGTAAATATAGGCTCTTGTCTAGGGTAGAATTTTCGCTACTAAATCGTGTCTCGTTCCCTTGTTTACTGATGAAAATTTCAAAAAAGAATGGAAATAAAATTTTACTGTGATGGCAAAATAAATTATTGCATTGTCAAAATCGGCAATCTTTGAAATGTTTCCAGCGCTTTTAAATTCTAGGATTATTTTGCAATTTTTAGAATTTTCGTAAATTTTACTTTAACAGTTGTAGAAAACTATGCTATAGTTTGCGATGAATATGAAAATATTATCTAGCACACCAAAATGGCATGATTTTTGTGAAGGAAAGTATTTGGTTTTATAGAAGAAAAACTTAAAATAGCTTGATTTGCAGATCTCGATGTCTGATGCGATGGAAGACAAGCGTTTTGCAAAGCAATGGAAGACACTTGTTTAGCATTATGGTATTAATGATATTAATCATCTATACACGTGTCAGGATTCTATCAATTTACAATGTAACTATTCTATGTATTTAACTGAATCGTAATATTATATGATTATAACAACAAACCTTAAGATTATTTAAGTGCTAGGTGAAAAGGGTTTGTGAAAATATGCTGAGTGAGAAAGTGAGCGAGAGGCACGTCAAAAGTGGCTGGTCACGGGTTCGAGTCCTACACTTGTCGTGTTACTTTTTATCAACTTGTGATTCTTGATAAAGCAACCTAGAATACAATCATTCAAGAAACTTTGAACGCTGACAGAATTGTAAATGGAAAGTTTTTGACGCTCTACCACTGGTTTAAACCAGAGTCCGGATGGCAGTCAAACGGTCAATGACCGTGAGAGAGCCAGCGAAAGCAAAACCAGGCCATACCCAGCTCCTTCTTGTTGATTTTCAATAAACCCCTTTTCTGGTTTCTTGTTTTGATAATACTGAGATTACAGTGTAACATCAATGATTAGAAATTGTGGAAGGACAGCTTTGCTCTAAAATTCAATGGCGATGAAAACAATAGCCTTTTTTACTTTTATCTAAAGGTTATACATCGATTTCAATATTTTGTCTGAGTCTCTATAACTCTTTTCTCACAATTTCAAAGCCTTTACGTCAGTCTACATATCTACAACTGCTTAGGCCGTTAAAGCTTTTTCTGAACTAGGTGGCCCAAATTTTGCAATTTTTTGTGAATTCTAACAGATAAATGGTGAAAATCACTCATTCAGCTTATTAACATAAACCTTTCCATTCAAAGCAGGCAGAACATACTAATTTTAAAGTCAAACTTCCAAGGGAACGATTAAAATTGCTAAATTTAAAGAATACTCGAAGAACTGGGGGTTCGAACGTATTAGAGGGGGAGGGGTTCAAATGAGATGCAGATAGTTCGATTTTCAGGGGTTATGGTTAAAGGACGTTCAATTTATCAGAGTTACTTGCTACACCTCTCTTCCAAATCAGTTTTAAGTTTCGAAAATGGAAAAGCACGCATGACTGGATAGTATTGATGCGAAGTATATGCAAATGGAAGGAATTTGTGTTTGTCAATGAAAGGAAAAAAAGCATAGGAAGGCTAAGAGTAATCAGGGGAAATTTCACACCCATACACTCACCTAGCTAATTAATTGATACAAAATACGGATAAATTTGACTTCAAAGAATAATATCTTATTTCTAGAATACAACAAAATGAAATAAATCAAAGTCACTTTAAAAAAGAAACTTTTCTCTGCATGATGTGAGGACTCGTGTCCCTCAGAATAGCACAATTACGAAACAAAATACAGCTTTAGGTCTCCACATCAGATTGCTACCAATCTCTCGTCACAATTACTATTGACAGTTGAATAAAAACTATATTATCAAGATCATCTACGGTATGCATACATTTATCAGATATTTGTCAACCTGAAAGGCCTTTTTCGCAAGAGACACGCCCCTGCAGAGAACATCATCACAACTATTACTTATTCGCCTAATTACTACTAAAATCAAGCTTTTCTAAAACTGGCGTCATGGTATTGAAAATGGCACAGGCTGATCTCCAGTTGGTTGCAATGGCACAAAATGGACTTCATTTGGTCCTGGATCACGTGGCATATCCATTATTGGAATTCCAGCTGAAAATAAGATGCAAAGTTTTCGTTAATCAATGACAACAACAATAAGACGATAAAGACATGGACAATGACGATGATGACGAAGATGAGGAGGACGACAGCAACGAAGATCAAGAAGTCGACGTCGATGAAGAGGACGACGACGATGAAGAGGACGACGACGATGAAGAGAAAGACGACGATTAGAAGAAAGGCGACGATGAAGAGGACGATGTCGATGAAGAGGACGACGTCGATGAAGAGAAAGACGACGATAAAGAGGACGATGTCAATGAAGAGAAAGACGACGATGAGGAGAAAGACGACAATGAAGAGGACGATGTCTTTGAAAAGAAAGACGACGATGAAGAGGACGATGTCAATGAAGAGAAAGACGACGATGAGGAGAAAGACGACAATGAAGAGAACGATGTCTTTGAAAAGAAAGACGACGATGAAGAGGACGATGTCAATGAAGAGAAAGACGACGATGAGGAGAAAGACGACAATGAAGAGAACGATGTCTTTGAAAAGAAAGACGACGATGAAGAGGACGATGTCAATGAAGAGAAAGACGACGATGAGGAGAAAGACGACAATGAAGAGAACGATGTCTTTGAAAAGAAAGACGACGATGAAGAGGACGATGTCAATGAAGAGAAAGACGACGATGAGGAGAAAGACGACAATGAAGAGAACGATGTCTTTGAAAAGAAAGACGACGATGAAGAGGACGATGTCAATGAAGAGAAAGACGACGATGAGGAGAAAGACGACAATGAAGAGAACGATGTCTTTGAAAAGAAAGACGACGATGAAGAGGACGATGTCAATGAAGAGAAAGACGACGATGAGGAGAAAGACGACAATGAAGAGAACGATGTCTTTGAAAAGAAAGACGACGATGAAGAGGACGATGTCAATGAAGAGAAAGACGACGATGAGGAGAAAGACGACAATGAAGAGAACGATGTCTTTGAAAAGAAAGACGACGATGAAGAGGACGATGTCAATGAAGAGAAAGACGACGATGAGGAGAAAGACGACAATGAAGAGAACGATGTCTTTGAAAAGAAAGACGACGATGAAGAGGACGATGTCAATGAAGAGAAAGACGACGATGAGGAGAAAGACGACAATGAAGAGAACGATGTCTTTGAAAAGAAAGACGACGATGAAGAGGACGATGTCGATGAAGAGGACGACAAAGAAGATGACCAGGACGAAGATGATGAAGAGAAGGACTATGAAGCTAATGACGAAAGAATTAATCACAATGAAAATGAAGAAGAGACTTGATAGACGTGGGAAAATATCAAAGGGTAAGGATTAAAACTTTAAGAGCAATTAATGTTACGGTTAGTAAAATGTTAGTACTCACATCGTTTTTTGGCTAAGCGAGCTGCGAAAAGAGAACGATAGCAAATTTTTAATAATTGGTTAAAGTAACAAAGTTGCAGAAATGTTAAGGTTAAGCAGAAATGGAGGACAAGGCATAGTTTGACAACACTATTTGGGAAAAATAACCGTCTAGAGAATGAAATATGTTACACTCATTCAGTTGAATTTATGAAATATTAGCACAGTTAACTGGGCTAATATTTAATAAATTCTCCAATCAAGTGGGATTTTTGTGACACGTGGTGTTTACAAGTGATTCAATACAAAACTACAATACAATACAATGTACCCAGCCTGAAATGCTGCGGAGGCGCGTTGCGCGGCACCATATCACTTGACTTTTTACAACAGGTTAGCAGGTTCGATTGATCAACGTTGTAAGTATATAACATGTGGATATAATGCATGTTTGGATATAGACAAGAAAGATACAGAACTTTCTGCACAGCATGGAGCACCATAACTGGCTGGAAAACAGTCACATTCAAGAAATGAAATACATTAAGATATATTTTCATACAGATCTGAAGTAAGAGATGATGTTAGTACAAAGCTGTTAAGATATGAATTGCTGGTTCATAAAACATTTACTCACCATATGATCCTGGTTTTTCCACACATGTAGGCCTACTTCTTGCATACAGATCGGGACAGAATGGCATCCTGCAGCGCACCCTTTCGATTTTACATATCGTTTCCTCTGGACATCGTAACATCTTAAAAGAAAAATGCACTGGTGAATTGGAGCCTTTAAAACTATGAAAGTCACGTGATATATTAAGCTTAAGAATTCATTGTTAAACCTAGAGATAAATTATTCAAAGGGAGAGGGAACCCAGGAAAAATAAACCCAGTAGTTTTACCAGGCTTGTTACGTTTACGAGTTCAACTTTTCAAAGGGACCCGTTGTAATTGAGAATTAATGAGTAATGAGAAAGTTCTCCGTAAGCAGTTAAAAGGATTATGTTAAGCATATCATCAAATTTTTTGAAATTTTCAGGGACGTTTGTTGCCAATACTTCTGCGTCTTCAACGCCTCATTCAATCATTATGCTGTGATTTCAACAGTTAGAATAGATTGTTTTGAATTAAGATCGTAGCTTACTGGATGCTTTTTATTGATCAAACTCAAACAAATCAAGAATCTCAAATTTTAAACTACGACTGAACACAACTCAGGTCCTCTAGTCAAATACTTTGAATGAATTCCAACTTCAAACGAAATCTGTTTTGCTTAAATCTCAAAAGAAGGAATGAAAAACTGCAGCATTCAGACGCTTATGTTTACTAATTAGGCCATATAAGGCAGTCAGATATCTCCCATCACTTCTTATTAACATTAACAATATTGTTTTTATATTTGTCTTCTTAAGTAGAATTTTCTTTATAGCCAAAAGAAAGTTAAAATACTTTTAAGATCAAACAGGAAAAAGAATTTTTTTTAGATACAGCCCTCTTTAAACTTTTTATGACTTCAAACCCCATTTGCAATGCTTTGATTTGTTGGGAATGATAATTTCAATTTTATGTATACAAATCTTACCTCGCATGGATGTGGAGGGCGAACTAAAATGCAAAAGTAAAAAATCATTATTGGTGAATATATTAGAGTGGCTATCAAAAAATCAACGATGAGAAAAATGGTATTATGTGGTAACACTATTGGTTCTTGGCATAGCTTATGAAGAAAAGACTCTTCTCACCTCCAACAGTGCAAACTAAAGCTCCACAATTGTTTCTGCAGCATTTTTTATCAGCCTCGCATTCATGGTCATATGAACACTCGGATTCATAGCAGTTCGTGCTTTCATGGCCTGGCAAAATCAGCGCCCTTCCAAAATAGTCCAGTCTGTTATCTTTTCTAGCATTGTTTACTTCCATTGCTGGGCAAAGTCCAGTCTTTGATAAAATCCCTAGAACGACAGAAAGGGAGTATGTAATTTGCAGACTTGGCAAAAGACTGTAAGCTGAAATAATTTGTTTTTATTCAAATAGGTACTTGCAGCTTATTTCAAATTTTCATCTTTATCGTTGCCAAATTCATCTGAGCTTACTGAAGATGAAACCTACCCCTAACAGCTAGCTTTGCTGTGTAGAATAAGAAGATTTCTAAGTTGCAACATCGAATTTGCACTCTAAACGCGATCTTCAGGAAGCTGTTCGTTTTAACGGCATTAAGCGTATACCGCAGAGTTGCGATTTAGAGCCGGCGTTGCATCTTCTTACTCTGCACAGCCACAGCAAAGATTGCTCTGTCTATACTGTACCAAGGATACTTTATAACTAACCGGTAAAGGTTATCTTCATGCTTAAGAAGGTCTTATCTTAGAAATTATGCTTCCTTCTTTGACTTTAATGATAAGATTTTGATTGCACGAATGCATGGCTAGTGACCGTTTCTTTTCAATTGCACGAGAGGAACAAATCGAGCAGAAGCGATAAATGATAAGCAATGCATTTACCTCTTTTAACCCTTCTTCTGTAAGTTCCAGGTCTTTTTATGGATGCTGAAATGAAAATATAACCCTTTTCAGCGCATCTCAATTGAGCCTTGTGAGAAATCAGCTTTTTTATTTAAGATTAAGTAAATAAGGACAGTTAATTTTTTGAAGGAAATTTGTGCCAGGATCGATACTTGTCTAACCAAGGGCGTGGGTGTGGGGGTGGCTCTACAACCTCTCTTCAAGGGGTAGTGGTCTGTATTTTTGTTTTTACGTCTTCAAAGGTATGCTTCTAAATGTCTAACAATCACGTATTGTACACATACGATACTGAAAATAAATATCATAGATGTATCGTTCAATAACTATGCATTGAGCATACTTGAATTTGTATTAAGTGTATCGGTTCACCGGTGAAGGCTCGTTGCGCAAAAACATACTGGATATGCTATGCTTTGAGCCTTGTCTCGGGCAGTTAAATGTTTAATTTGAACTACCTTTAAAGGAAAGAATACATCGGTGTCCTTACCTGAATGCAGATTTAGCTGCAGTGAGATAATTGTTAAGAGTGGGAGAAAAATCTTCCAAAATAAAGGATGCATTCCAAACTTGATTTCAGCCTAAAATAAATAAATTAGATTTTTTAAAGTGGCTAAATTTTTAAGTCACCTATTCTATAAGATACAATTTGAAAATGGCTTTGAAAAAAGCAAACATTTTACGACATACTAAAAGCTTTTTCGTCTGACACTCCTCAAAGCATAAAACGTCAGAATAAGGTTCCGAAAGAACACGATGGAAAATATATACCCAGTTGTGGATTGAAATAGGCCAATCAGAAAAACGCAAACACAAGACCGGTATAGTTGACCAATCAGTGCCTCGAGCCTAAAGATACAATTTGTAATATACAAAAGGTGCGGTGATTGCAAAAGTTTCATAACTTGTCTCTGAATACTTCAAGTTCAAAAGAATTCGGTGCAAAAAATTTCGGTCATATTTTTTAAATTTCGGTGTAAAATTCGGTGAAAACATGACCCTATCGTTGTGGGGTTGGGTTTGGCGGTGTAGTTATCCACTGTTCGGATTTCTAATGGCTGGAATTTCAATTATTATCCAATTTGAAATTAATCGATAAGTCTCTCCGAAAACCATTTCTGTCGAATATTCTTGTTTATGTTTGTTACAAGCATATTGGGAAGAATTTATATCTTAAAACGAACAATGACCAAGTAGCGGTCAGTAACTACATTATAATACCCATATTTTAGCACGAGATTTTTGCAACAATTTAGAGACTGAACTACTTTGTTACATCTCATTTCTGCATGTGTACCTTGTCAAGCATAAAATATACGTGTATAACAGTGTTAAAAACAAAGATATCAAAATTTTCTTATCACCTGGTATCACTTGAAACCATCACATCCTTTTTCGAGTGTTACCTGTTTGCGTGGAATCTTTCAAATTGATAAAGATACGGTCCAAAATCACCACATATTCCAATCTGCTTTTCCAACTCTGCTATTCACTTTCCCTTTAAGTATTTTAAAGTTCGACACAAAATGTAACCCTTATTTTTTAAATGGTTTTAATAAAATTCTTTCTTGTCCGTTAATTGACTTTATGATCTGTTTGAATCTCGATCCCGTGCGATCAAATGCGACCTGACGATGTAGCTGGTATTCACTGAGAATCATTAAGAGGCAATGAGCTCTGGTTAAGCAGAGACACAGGAATAAACGCCTCACTTGTCTTGCCTGTATACACAATTAACCTAGGCCAATGATTTTCTCTTTGTTTATATATGAATGGATTTGTGCACTATAGCGCTACCTGTCTTACTACCAATTCACTAGTAACAAGTTATCTTGTTTGCGGCACTGCCTAATGAGCAAGAGTGATGAGATTTTCAACTGACCGATCGACCAGCAAACAACATGAAGCGATCATTATCTTACACTATCATCATCTAAATTCATTCATAACATCCAAAAAAATTTGCTCAAGAAACAAACACCATTGCTGCAGCCAGAGATGCAAGAAGAGTGGGGTCTACGGCGTAGGCTACCGGAAGAGCTGCAGGGCATGGAAGGAGGCAAAGCGCCAAGAAAAAGGACACAAAAATAGTTTGAAATAAACAAAATTGCTTAATTTTGCGAGGGCAAAGGGGCAGCTGAACCTGTACTTAACAAAAATCTCTGAAAATTAACGGTCACTTAGCATTTCTCAATTGCATGGCAGGTATTCAGGACCAAAGTTTCTGACGATAACTAAATGTCAATGCTGCTTTTTTCCTATCAGATACTTCTCTAACGAAACTGCTTTAACTAAATGTCAATACTGCAGTGTTTGTGCATTCAAGAGGGTATACACCTTCTTGGACCAGATGCTATTGGCACTTCTTTCAAGACTGACGTCACATCTATGCAGAACGAAGACTCAATAGCGGTCTAATGTTAGGACAAATTTTAACAGCCAAAAACTGAATATACAAAGGATCCTTAAGTAGTCTATGCTTTTTTCAATTTAACTTACAAACACGCCTTGAAAATACAACATTAGCAGTTAGAATACAACAAGACCCTTGCAAACGAAGAACACGGAGAACAAGCTCTCCAAAAACCTATTCTGAGAGATGATTTTTGAAAAATCGCAACCATAATACGCCTAGGCAAACGAGAAAAGACCTTTTATAATAAACATGATAAAGATGGAGGCAAATAAAGGGAACCTCGGTTTTCATCATTAATTTGCAAGATGAGTTGCATTATTGCATATTCATAAATATAACAAAAACAAATATCACAAGGCCATAAAAATTAAATATCAAATTGAAAAAGTAATTGATCGACGGATTAAATAAAAGAACGCCAACAAAATGGCAAAGTCACAGTTACATTAAATAGCGATGTTGACTGTAATTATACTACGAGCAAAAAATGGCACGCATAAAACCACAACACTACCCTTAGCTGATCTACTACATCAAAAAACCCTTAAATTCTCTAAACGTGCATAACATTATTCTACAGATTCTATATGCGGAAAACAGTTAAGTGTCAAAACCCAAGATATAAAAAAACGACCTAAATTCATCATTATATGACCGAAGCAATTTTTCACCAATTTCGCAGAAAATAAAAAACGATAAGCAAAAGTAAGATGAGGACAATTCGGTACTTGCATATTTAGCAATCAAGGGACTCAAGATTTCTATAATCAAAGTTGGGATTTCTCGTCCTAGCAAATGATATGGTATTTCCGGCTACAGAAATAGCTGGATAAGACCACGAAACAAAAAAATCAAATATCACCACGATTTTTCAAGAATAATTCCACAAGAACCGTCCTTCTTAAAAGGGTATGATAAAACAAATAACAAATTTGGTTTTAACGTATTAGAAAGCAAGTTTGATTATACAGAATGCCAAAGATATCTGCTTTTGCTTTGTGACTATGACAGACAGCAAAAAAAATCAATCCATGCTACATTTCATGTCTGCAGCCTTGAATATATCAAAGAGCAAGAAAAAAACTATTACACATCATATCAACCAAATTTAAAAGAAAGGAACAAAATTCTGGTTTGTAATACTTGACACAAGCTTATATACAAAGCAGGTGACACTAAAAACTGGCACACAATGAAAAGGATTGCTAAGTCCAAATTCTAGCCACCTGCAAAAAACATATATAGTCAATCCGGGTAAAAAATACGCACGTGTCTCTGCGGGGAAAAATTACGCACCACCTTTTCAGCCACGCCCAATCACTTATACCGTTTTGCTTGTGGTTCCCGTATAGCCTAGAGAAGGCCTGTCAATTTGACCTGCTTTTCCCTTTTGTAAGGATTCTTGATTTAGAATAAAGCGGAATTGAATGTTTACCTTGTAAATTGGCCCAATATAATGTTTTGTCGGAAATCATCGAACTTTCTTATTGTCGCGTCAGTAACTGTCAAGCCCACAAAGTCAAGTGTTCTCAGTTGTTCTAAGGGATTAACCTTTTGACCTATGATAATTACATTTGCTTGCTATCTTTTGTTTTGTCTACATGGCATGCGTATTTTTTGGACACACAATTTTTGAGCACATGGGGAAAAATTACGCACTCCTGATTTTGATTGATGTTGGTATGGGACCTATAGAGATATGTAAATATGAGTCACAGAGGCACAAATTATCATGAGATATTACATAAGCTTATATTAATGGGAGTTTACAATGTATTTTTGGCACTTAAGTCATAGCCTCGCTTTCATATGCCAAAGTTTTTAATAGCAGACATCCTCATGCTTTTCAACTTTAAAATCACTTAGAAGCTGTTCAAAACTATTGCTTAACATCGTTACATGGAAAATCAAGTATTATATGAATGTTCTTCATAAACAAGCCTCTAGGATTCATTCTTTTATGTGTGCGTATTTTTTCCCCACCTATCCGCATTTTTTACCCCATTTGATGGGGGAAAAATTTCGCATTAGTTTTCTTTAATTATAAGAAGGTTAATTGGATTAGCAAGACAACAAAGGTTTGGTTAACAAGGTATTACTATTCAAGTTCGAAAAATAAAAGAATATTGACAAGATATCTTTTGAATATTTTTCTGGAGCAAACTTTGTGCAAAATGCGTATTTTTTCCCCCAACTGACTATACCATGAGAACATGTTAAGGCATGAGAACATGTCAGGACAAAGGCAAGCAGAATTTGGAATTACGCTACACCTGCCATCTATGTCATTCCAAGATGTATTATTCTATGATAAAAGGAAACTTTTCACCTGAAACTTCTAATACCTGGGTAGTAAAGGAACTTTTCATACCAAATGTTACGTAAGTCTCTTGATACAATACTATTTATAACAAAAGACAAATAAATCATCTTAAACTTAAGGACCATGCTGCATTATCTTGAAAGACAAACTGCTTAGGCACATGGTAGTTTTTAATTTCAATTCAAAGCAAAAGAAAGCTTGGTATATCGTGAGTCAAAAAGACATTCGTGAGTGATACTGATGGCCAATTTGCTTCTCTGCTTGAAGGCACTGTACTCAAAATGACAGGACCACTAGCAGCAGGTCAATCAAGACTGGAAAAATGAAGTAGTTGATTGTAGGATTAAAAAAAATAATGAAGCAAAAAGATTGAATACCTTGGCTTGTTGGTGGTAATTGAGCAGTTAAAAATCACTGGCATTTCCATTCAATTCAATTCCATTACTGGCAGTGCAAGAGTTGAGGCGCTGACGAGCAATTACATCCAATTTGGGAACATATTCGGTAGGAATAAGATAGTTGGATAGGTTGAAGAGATCCAAGAACACTTTATATCGGTCGCTGTAATAGAGAAATAAAAATAAACATAAGCACGAGAAGTCATGCGCTAAAATGTTTTTAATATTCTCAAACGTTAAACAATTGATAGATAGGATCTGCCGTGCGTTCCCTAATATTGTGGAAAAATGTTGTTAAGGGATCTAATCCATGTTTCATACATAGGACAAGCCAACATGAAATGCCACTTAGGGTCGATTCACCAATCTGTTTGGTATATTTAAATATATATTTATATAAATAAAGCAGAAACTGTCTCAAAGAACTGATCAATGCAAAGTAAAATAGTTGACAAAAAAAGAATATAAGCAAGCAAGGTATTCTCAAGAAGAAAGATGAATAAGGAAATAACTTAAAAAAGAAATTGAAATCTAAAAACTGAAGACACGCACGTATATAAATTCTGAATTGCCTACGGTTGAATTGACACTTTGCTTTTTTCTTTCGTTATTAGTGAAACTTATGGCAGCGCAATCTTTTGCCTCCAATGGAGAATATTTGTTTACCTGACGGTGGATTTGAGGTACTGGTATCCAGATGTGCCACCTGTGCCAACTTTAGAACCAAGTTGTCTTTGTACCAGCATTACATGGTTATCTTTAAAAGTCAAACAAAGTTAAATGCAATAATGCTAGTAGTCTATACTCTTTTCTCTTTTCAGTTTTGTTTTGATAAACATAACATGATAATATTCTCAAACCTGGCTTACGCTTCATCAATAGCATTCTAAACGAAAATCTCTATTGAGTATAGAAAGAGAAAGAAATTGCAACGAAGGCAAAATCTTGCCTAGATCATTAGCAAATGTAAAAGTCTTCTGAAGCACTTACATCTCCATTTGGTAAGCAACGAGTCAATATCCATCAAAGCATTCAGAAACTGGAATGGCTGGTGAAAGACAACTTCTCTGCGGTAGAAGAAGATCATCAATGCACCCTGAAGGGCTTTCCACGACAAACGCCTGTCACCTATTGAGAGATTGAGAATAATCTGAGCTTACTTTCACAACTCAAAAAAGGTATCATTACTGATAACATGCAGCCTTACATACTTGTTAGCTGAAGGATACATGGAAAAGCTCAAAAAGAGCTGTCGAGGCCATTTATCCTAATTGAGTGTTCTAGATTTAGAAGCTACTTAGATTTTGATTGTAAATTTAACAGAAATAAATGGCAAATTTGAAGAAAACCAGAACAAAAACAATACAGAAGTAACAAAATAAACTAATAAAGTAATTCCGACTGATAAATCTACTGCTTTTGGAGCCAAAACAGGCTCTAGTCTAGTGCCCCAGCTTTTGACGCGCAATAAGCATTTACAACATCAGCTGGCAGTGTGCACAGCGAATAGCTTAGATTTTTATATCCTTTGTTGAAGAAAAGCTAGACGAACTGTTAAACGACGAGATTTTTCCTGCCTTGGATGGTGTAGTTTCAGAGACTAACTCTTGTGAACTCAGTTGTGCAATTTGCAAAAAGCACTACAACAAGAAAAGTGGCCTAAAATGACAAAGGAAGAAGGAACACGACATCGGTGTTGCCAGTGCAGCTGGTCTATCCGCCTATTTAATACGTCAGATATTATGAGATTGGTAAAATCTTCGCAAACTTATTTCCAACGTAATAGCTACTAATATTGGATCTGCACACAGGCTACGGCTATCCAGAAACCCTACCTGAAGAGTTTTTTCATAATCAATTTCATTTTAACGGACTCTCTTAAAAACGAATAAATGAAATGCTATGCAGTCTTATCGGACAGCAGTGATGGCGGGCAGGTTTTTTGTTTTTTTTCCGGTACGGTTGTGCAGTTTGCAAATGTTCTGCATCCAGCTCTATTAACTTCTTTTTGTTTAAAAATTTCGGAGACAAAATGTTCAGCTTCTTCAGGAGACCACAACCAATGTTGCTAGAAAGGCCATTGCCGATGAGCTATAAAAATTTCGATTGCCTACAATACTAATCTGGCTAGATTGAACACGAGTTTTTGAAAAGCAAGAAACAGCCCAAATGACATTAACCAGACTATAATTGGGTTGCTGGAGAAAGGCCTGTGTCCCAAAGACTGATAAAACCAAGAGTAGAGGAGGTTTGATAACAGCTAAAAATTAAATTGAGAAAATCTTTACTCAAGCAGAGACAGAATGTCTTTCGCGGATAATCACTTTGACAACAAATCCAAGATATTCTTTTGCCGTTTCGAATAAAACTTCTGCCCGGTTTGGAACTGTAAATATTGCTATCGACAAAAAATTTCTCTTCTTGTCACTCCACATTGATGAAACGTACAATTAGCTCCAGGCATGTTAATAATATAGCATACTTGATAACTTGACGATAAGTTGAAAATATCATGTTAAAACGACGCGCAAATTAGAAGTTTGAACTCTACCGCGCGAAAGCTGTGCACTCATTTTGATCACGTGACATCATTAAAATGAAACAAGAAGTTAGAACAATGGACTTCCAGACCAGGGATTTCTCTATTGACTATGGCTCTAGTAGCCACAGCTCCTTGGCTATGAATTTTTGCTTAAGATATTTGTTCTGCTCAGGTAATTAGCCACTGCGAGCCGCCAGTTTTGCCCACGGTTTCCGATTCATTTCATTTCAAATTTTTAAGGAGGGTAGCTCTTCAGCAATGCTGATTTTCAAGGGGCCCTCCACCTAAAATACTTACAGAAGCTCTTATAAAAAACAAATTACCCTAATTACAATTCAATATTTACAATTTAAAATAAACCCTTTTTTAATATGAATCTAATTTTTTAAAAAGAAACATCCACAATGAAAGGCCAAATGGTAATTTACAATATACAATTTACAATTACGCCTAAATACAATTGCGCAAGATATTTTTTAAAGTTGCCCAGGGAAGATGCCTGTTTACACTCAGCTGAGAGGTCATTCCAAGGCCTAGCACCTCTAAACGAGAAGCATTTCTGTCCATTTTTGGAGTTTTTCCTTGGTAGCCTCATATCAAGTGATGTATGATTCCTAGAAGTTGACTTGGATTTTTTAGTGAAAAGATTGCATATATATTGTGGAGCCAGTCCATGAATTGATTTGGAGACCATGACATTTGACTCATTAGCGATTAGCTCGTCTATGGTCATCCAGCCCAGCTCCTTTATGAGTGGTTGGCTCGGTGCATCAAACCTGCTGCAAATTACAATACGAGCAACCCAGCTTTGTAGTTTTTGTAAATGTTTGATTTCGGTAATACCACAACAGCCCCACACCGAACAACAATAGCGAAAGTGTGACTCCACAATACTTGTGTACATAGTATTCAGAGTTTCTTTGGGCAGAATGGATTTTGCATGCCTCAAAAAACCAATTCCTCTGGAGACCTTGGAAGAAATTGTTTTAGTGTGTTCCTTCCAATCTAGTGTGTTATCGATCTGTATTCCAAGATATTTGGTTTTTTGAACAACATCCAGCTTATTGTTCTGAATTTTTAGCTTTAAAGATTCGTCTTAATTCTTTAATGATTTATGCTTAGGTTTGGTGGAAATAAGCAGGGCATGTGTTTTCATTACATTCAGTGAAAGTCTCTTGCCCTTGAGCCATCATTCAACGTGTGCAAGGCCACTATTGATGGCCTCATTCAGCTGCGATGGATGGCAAAGACTCGTGTCATCTGCATACATAGGCCCATTTGCTTTCTGGACAGCTAGTGGGAGGTCGTTTATATAAATGAGGAATAGGAGGGGTCCAAGACATGAGCCTTGGGGTACACCAACATTAATTTCTATAAAATTAAATATCGTTGCAAATCAAATATCATTGCAATTGATAACTTGCGAGTGTGAAAATTCAGGAAAACTGCTGTAGAGTTGGATTTTGACTTCCTGCAAACTATAAACCGTTCCTAGATGCAAACTTTGAGGCATAAAAAACTTAGATGTGATAAATATTTTCATTATATATAAAGGCAAGCGGTAAAAAACCAGCGGTGTGATGGAAAAAGAACTGAGCTTTTATCATACCTTTTGCAAGGAGGTAGCTATAGCATCTTTCGTCAAATATCTGCTCAAATATCTCCTGTGAATAAAACATAATCGGGTAAGACGCTTATAAGTTAACCCATATAGCTAAACTTTGATCAAATTGCTGTGCCGACTCATGCTAAAAGAATGTTTCGTCAGCATAGACACCGCAAATTATATAAAGAATAATAAATCAAGGGAAAGGATTTCTGGAAACTTAGCGGCGTAACAGCGAAGAAAACATTTGATTCCAACAGGGTACCTAACCAACTGCCATACATGAGGCAACGTCACACGATTTATTGGTAATGGGTCTCTCAAACAACGTTTATCTCAAGAATGCACTTACTTAGACTGCGTGGGTCAGTGATACTGATTTATTTCTCCTTTTTTCATAACAAACAATAGGTGATGAGATCTCAATCAGGTGATAAGTTACAATGAATAAACACAGAAGAAGAATGACTCACTTAGCAAAAGCTACACCTATGACCTTATTGGGTTTTAAAGAACCTTAAATAACAAACCTTGACTTTTGCAATATCTTGAAGTGCGCGCTCTTTGTCTCGGCAATCATTTTCAAGCTGTTATATTTCAGATAAAAAAAGGCAATAAATTTATATCTCAGCTTCTGGATATAAAGAACAAGAAACATATTAATCCTGAACAATCAGAGGTTTCACATGGTGTTCTTTCACACTGCATGATAAAGACTGAATTTTTCTAGATCTGACGTCATTACTCGATTACTCTGAAGTCATCTTGCTTTTTTATCAAGCTTCTTCTCTTACAAAACAATTTACATACTTCTTTATTTAGATTCCGATTGATTTACATTCCAATTTTTAACAAACCTCAGCTTCTTTATTTCTGTCCTTCATCCAACATTGGAATGCGCTCTGGAATTTCTTCCAGAAATTAAAGCCATCCACCTCCAACCCTGGTGTACGTTCGAGCCAATTCTGAATAGAATCAAAACAACATTAGAAGTTCAAGTTATAAAGTGTCATGCAATCTTTCATTAGAATTGAAGACTTTATAGGTCAAAGTATGGTCGTGTCCAAGAATGCAAGAGCCGCGATTGGCGACTTTTCAATGATTAGCACACACGTAAAATTATGCTTTACTTGTAATTTTTTCCACAGTAATGTTTTCAAATACATGCCTGCACAGATCAAGCAAAACCTTGTGATTCCAGATTGTAGTGTAGAGTGAAAATTCAGTGTAGGACTTATAAAGAAATACTTTATGCAAGCGGATAAGGCCATATGCAGATATAAGCCACAAGCTTGCAAATTATCACGGTTAGTTGTTAACTATGGACTTACATGTTTGTGCAAACTACCTTAACGCGTACCTTCGGAATCATGTTGGTAATAGTTTCTTTTGGCTTATATCTATTGTAATCAGTTTACTTGCAACTAATTCATGGAATAGAAAAAATGAAAAAAATTTAAAATGAATAACTACAGCAAACCTCTCTAATTCTTGGCAAGAAAATAGGACTAGATATTTCAAGAATAAGCAGTAAATTCGAAAAATGAAAATATCACAAGACAATGAAAGGCTTTCTCCTCCAGCCAGTCGTTCTGAAGGCAAAGGGTACATACCTGCACAACATCAAACAAAGACGGCTCTTCTTCTGAAATTTCAACTCTCTTCCGAATCTCTACACTTTTTTCAACCTCTTTAAAGATCTCCCTAAGTAAAAAGAATAAAAAATTCTTCTTGACACTATTCATTTTCAAATTTTCAAAGGAATAGAGTACCTATTCTGATCAGAACTTTGATCTTATTGCACAATGACATAACATGATTAACAGGCATCCATCGTTTCTGGATTTTGAATAATACAAGGGTCTGTTCATCGTTTATGATGATGATGATGATGATGATGATGATGATGATGATGATGATGATGATGATGATGATGATGATGATGATGATGATGATGATGATGACGATGGTGATGATGATGGTGATGATGATAATGATGATGATGATGATGATGATGATGATGGTGATGATGATAATGATGATGATGACATAGATTGACATAAATATAAGACCATCGACACAGCTATCACTTTTCTCTTCAGAAAGGCATATTTGTTGTATATATTGCAATCAAGATTTGGCCAACTAATGACCTGATTCAAATCTAGATACCTTTCAACAGCTACATAAAAAATAAAATGGTTATAGAAAGAACAACAACTCACTTGTAGTCTGTCCTATTGTATCGTATCCTGTTTTCCTACAAAAATGACATCATATTTAAAATAATTGACAAAAAGAAGTCGAGAGTTGAAATTTCAGAACTAGGAACAGAACTAGGTTTAACACGAGACGGGATCGATCCAAAACTGGAACGCTCTCCAAAGCGAACCCAATTTAGTACAGATAGCGGATTGATCCCGAGCGTTTAGTACAGGTCCTACCCATGTGTTCGCGATCTGACATGTCCTACCCATGTGTTCGCGACCATCCAGGTACCTCAAACTTTATTTAACTTTGAGGCAGGGGCGGATTCAGGGTGTCGCACAGGTCGCACGGATGTCAGATTTTCAGAATTTAGTTTTAGTCATCAGTCATTGAAATATGGCAATCATGTTTACCACAATCTTTTATTTTCCTCCTTACAGATAATACATTTTGCTCTCTTTACACAATAAACACAGGGCCGAACTTGGTCCATCTCACACACAATGCTACGATTTAATTCAATATAGAAAGAATTCCAAGACCACTCTAGACCGTAAACAGTATGATTTTTAAGCATGTCGCCCATGCCGCACAAATATGCAGGGCTCTTTGTTATGCAAATATTTTACCAAATCTCACCAATCAAAACTCAAGTTTTCACATATTTGTGCGGCACGAAAAGTCTGTAAACACTATGTTAGATCACTGTGCCGCACAACTGCTGGCAAGGGAAGAAAGTGGATGAGGTTGTAAGTTGGAAAGGGAAGAGTCCTAATTTTCTTTATCTATACGGAAGAGGTGCACAGGAAGTGTACACTTCTGAATCTCAAGATATTTTGTTCAAACTGCATTTTGAAAACCTTTTAAAGGAAAAAATGTTTGACTGAACAATTTGAACGTTTCAGGGCCCCAGTCCTAATTGCTCTGGTTCTAGGGGGGCTGGGGCTGGGCCCCCATCATGGCTCCGCCCTTGACCATGAGGGGGGCCCCTAGACCGCCTGCTGGGCAGTGTTAATGTGCGACCGTCAACTTTTATTCTGTATCCGCCCCTGCTTTGAGGGTTTGGCATTTGAAAAATATGAAGCCTGCTGATTTTGTCATGAGGAGGGTATTATTCAAAGCTAAGGATTATTTCAATGAATCCTCATTTTTGGTCAGAAATGCCGTACATTCTTATATTCCTCTTTTACTGGATCACAGTTAAAGCCTGTTCAAACTAGGCATCTGCTAAAAATCAACCTGTCGACCAATTACATGTGAATTAAGAATGAGTCTGCATCCGCAGGTACACACCTTTTTGACCCCAATCTTGTTTTCAAGCAGCCTAAATTGCATACTCTGAAATCCAGATGCAGGGGCGAGTTTTCCTCTAGGAAAGGACGAAAATATAGAACATTATAAACGAGAATGATCAGCAAATAACATCTGCAATGCAAACATATACCAATATGAAGATAGATTATCGTTCGAAGCAAAAACTCAACAGTCTAGTGAGATTGCAATTAGAGTCACTATCAATGAAAAATACCCAGAATTTACCTTTCTACAAGAAACTTTTTAAAATGATTGACATTGATTTGCTGTGTACGATGTTTACGAGAGACCCTAACAATTATAATACTTTCCAAAAATCTCTAGTATCCTTTTTGCTGAAACTTCAACTGTAATTTCATACTTTAAAAATTTTTTATAAGATTTTTTTAATGAGAAGCATTTCACTCCCGTATAAAAATTCTGACACTATATACTTTTCTAGCTTTTTCTCAAAAACAGAACAATGATATTGACGACTTAAATCAGGGGATATATGTTTGCTATTTGGAAGCTTACATATGGTGATGATGAAAATTGTCTCAATAGCGGGGAGCAAAGGTAAAGAATAGGAAGAAAGGGAAAATTAAGGTTTTTTTTCATGATGACATGTAATCAAGAATTTCGAACAAACCTAAATTCCATGAAGTCCAGTGGTGTCATCGTTTCAAGGATCATCATCTGGTCAACCAAAACCTGAAACAACGGGTAATTACAACACCATGCTCAAAAGGAAGAAAAAAGACAAATGTAGGATTTAAACGCATTGTCAATAAGTGTCGAAATTATTGTATCGTATACCATTGATGATTCCAAAGAACTGTTATATAAGAAATTGGTTCTCATCAGATATCTAACCATTGTAATAAATATCACATAAAAGAATTCTACAATCTTTACAGCCGCATCAAATTTAAACAAATTATCATTAACTATAAAAATTAAGTGACTGTTTCTCCTAAGGAGTCTTGTTAAAGATTTTACCTTTAGGTGCCATGTTTAGAAAAGACATATAGTTTATTGGCTTATTCCAGTTTCTATTTTAGTTTGAATTCAGAAGAGCCATTACCAACAAAGTAAAAGAAAATACCAACCTTGAGGATCTTAACAACTCTGTCAAGCCTTGAAACAACAACCAACATGTTTCTTTCATCAACAACCTCAAAACAATAAGTTAAATCTCATATAGGTGTATTCATGTCAGTAAAAAAGTTTCTCTATTGACCAAGGTGTATTAGATGAGTATTGGCATGGCATTTTTTCCCATGCAGAAACGAGTGCAGTAAAAACAGACAAAATTACAGTCCTGGAATTTACAACATTGTTCAGCATAGAGAATATAAAGAGCATAAAGAAAAATGTAAGCATTGAATGGAACTTATCTAAATCCTGAAAATGTTTATCCTTACTATGGCCAATGAGCCAAAATTTGCAAAATATTCTCAATAAAAAAATTGAAAAAATGTGTGGTATTTTAAATTCGCTTATTTTCACTGGATGACCACCCTCACAGTGACTGGCTGTGTGACCACAAATTTTTCTGGCCTAAGTTAAGACTAGAGATCCAGGTTGCAAATGGTTACAATGCCATCAGTTGTTTAGCTGTAGGGGGAAGTTAATGGTTGAGAGAGCAACACATCCTTGATAACATGATTTGTCATATATTTTCATAACAACTGTGACATAACAAAACAGGTCTAACAAAGTTTAGGATCTAGAGTCACAAAAAATAACTACCCATGTATGAAAATCAATTACACGTTTTTTGTGAGGAACCTCTTAATAAGAAGCCACAAATGCAGAAGGCAGAAAAAATTAAAATAGCGTTAGCACTAAAGATAAAATCCTTAAGGAACTGTTCATTTTTGAATATTTTTATCATAGGAAAACAATCAAGTGTTAGAAAGCCAGTTCCATTCATTTGGAGTTAAAAATCACATAAGTTGTTTTTTACAAAGGTGGCTATTGAGTGTTTCATTGTGCGATTTTGAGTGCTTTAAGTGCAAACAGCCTTCTAGACTTCTTCACCTTGCTTCTAGCTACAGTTAAAAATCTAATGACACTTATTTAATAAAGAGTTCTAATGTACTATGTGGAGTTTTTATGTGCAGTTACTTTATGAAATTATTGAGCAGCTTTTAGTACTACTTTTGATAAAAAGAGCCAGGTTCCTTATAAACAAACATATTTTACGCAATTAAAAGTTCCTGTACATGTTGTAGAAAAAAACAACGAGTCTAGACTTAAAAACAGTTGATAATAAAGGGCTCTTCTCAATATTTTAGAATGTGAGGAATTCATTTGTCAAGTCATAACATTGAAAACAGGCTTAATCATTGTGGTCAATGTCAAGGCTATCAACTTGGAAAATTTGTTTCCAGACAGGCTAAGAATCATTGCTCTCTTCAAAGGCAAGGCAGCCCACTAAATTTTTCAAGCACAGTACGTCCTTGGACCATCTTATTAAGATATTTCAATTTGCCTACATAGATAGAGAATAAGTTGGAGAGGATGCAAGGAAGCAGTCATTTTTTGCCCTAGGTACTTGGAAAGGAATATCAAACTTTCCTTATTATTCTGTTGTGATGTAAAAATATCCAGCTAAATTACCATAGGATACAAGAGAGTCTTTGCACATTCATGACAGGGTATAGCAATTTTAATCTTTCTAATTTTTTAGCAGTTTTCTTTGTCTGCTGCTGCCAGAGGCTGGTGCTGATTATAAGCTTTTGAATCTGATCTCCAGCATGGTACTTTGCAACAAATACAATTTGATTGCAATTTTATTCCTTAAAGGGTCCTTAGTTAAGTGATAATTGTTAAGAAAAAGTTTGTTTTTTATTACTAAAAAGTAATTGTAATGACAAATGCAGGGTTCCACAGCCCCTGGCAGATTAAGTGTTTTAGAGAGAATTTCAAGGGGGAAATGGGAAAGCCAGACATTGACTGAGAGGACAAGAAAGTAGACTCTTAAAAAAAATAATAAATTGACTTACTTCAATCAAGAATACCTTGCGAACTGAATCCAATTCATGAATAATTTGCTTGAACCACAACTCATACACTAGAAAGGAATCAATATCTTTGTATAGGATATGTTGAAGGTTTTCTGATGAATAGAATAAGTTAAGTTTCAAATAGATTTCCATGGTCACTACAATAAATATACTTTTAGGAGTTATCCTTTCAGGAACAAACTATTTGGCTTGACATATATAAAGAAAAGAATCAGAAAGAAACAAAACAAAATAAACAGAATTGTTGGTATGTATGAAATGACATTAAAAATATCATATTAAAACAGAGAGGCAACATAGAGTGACAGAAAAAAGTTTATTCTTTATTGATTAACCACAATTGGTACTGTAAAGAATAAATATTATGGTTAAGTGGTCTATACAGGGTCCCATGCCACACTAAGTCTGCCTTTGGTCCCATCAATGTTTTAAACAGCAGTGAAACTCCTACATAAGCACTCTGCATTTAATGCTGTACCTTTAATCTATTCTTACTTAAACCTATGACCAAATTTAAGAATCCTTTTTGAGGGCAACTTTAAAAGCTGAGAAGCTTAAGATTAACTGCAATTAATCTTTCATTTAGAACTGGTGCAAGACGATTTTGTAAAAGTAGCAAAGCAAATAACATTTCCTGTGCTAGATGAATAAATCTCATCATGGTGGGCAATTTTACTTCATTAGACATGGCTTGAAAAGCCAATTGCTTTTAATTGTAAAGGAGGCCCAAAAATATACCAAATAATTTTGGAAAAAAGACATTAAGTGGACCAAAGTAACATTCTGGTTTTAGGAATCCTCTCTCCTTTTGTTAATAATTTATGAACTTGAATTAGTGGTAGATCTGAAGAAATAGGTCAAAAGAAAACAGGGTAGCTGTTACCTTAAATATGAAGAGATGTGCTGCAGAACAGGGTATACTTTTCAGATTAAAATTATTAGACAGAATATTAAGAATTGCATTAAAACTCTGGGACAGGCTAACAAAATCAAGGAAATTGCTTGGGACAGGGTATTTAGAAGCAAAGTTAGAAATTATTTCATTTATTTGCTCCCAAAAAAACACCCATTAATCTCAATGCAGATCCTCTTACTGCTCACGTATATTCTCTATGGGACAGGGTCTGGGGGCAAAGGGTTTCTGCACAACCCCATCAAAGTCTCCCCCTCCCTGAAAAAGTGTGCTTTGAATCGAGCATCAGCTACAACAATTTGCTCTGCTAAAGCAATTATAAATCATTGGTAAGATAATGAAATGTAACTACAAAAGTTACCTTGGTGTACAATTATAAAGAGATGTTCATCATGCACATCTGATAGTGGTTTTTGACACTCCAAAAGAGGCTCAATCTGAATCAAAGAACATTATATCATCAAAGTATTTCTTGAATACTTGCCTAATTTGTTTATACATTGAAATGCTTGGCTAGTCAAAAACTGAGTAATGCCAATATAATAAAAATGTTTTCATTATTTAGAGCAAAGGGGATTCAATGAAATGTTGGCCCACTAAATTTGGCAGTCAATATAATCCTTAGCTGTAAATAGAATACAATGCTCATTTCTTATCTATCTAGACCAGCCCACTTGCCTGGTCTGTCCATTTCCCCCTTGCATAACCATGTTATTTCAATAATTTTGTACTTTTGGTGAATAACTAGCATACTAACAAACATAGAATGTAATGCCAATGAACTGGCTCTGTACAATATTGATAGATAGATAGATGGAAATTTGCTTAGCCATTCAAAATTTCTAAAGAAATTGCGCTTTACATCTGACTCTAATAGAATCAATAACAAGCTGCAGATTCTTAGAATGCATATCCATATCAACTTCATAGGATACAATATTCAGTTGTTAAGATGATGACACCCTAGGTTGGAAGAAACTCCAAAGAAGCGGAGTGCTAAGTAATGTTATCTTTAGGTTATCAAAGCTTCATCAACAAATTGTTTATAGTTTAGTAATTACACTGCTTAAACATTTAGATTGCCTGTTTTTTGTATAGCTAATGGGATGGTACTTCTGTTTTAGAATTTCAAGGCATTTTTTTTTGGTAGAATGACATCTAGATAATTGAAATTTCTCTCACCATCAGCGGCCCTGACACAGTGGGGATGACACATAAAAGTAAGGGAATTGTCATGAAACCCAGCCCCCACTGTCAGGGACCTTGAAACCCAGCCCCCACTGCCAGGGGCCTTGTTCTTGCTTGGCATATATAATAAGGCTGCAACTTATGTCAGTATTTCACAAAAGCTTCTGAGTGAATATACTTCATTTTAATTGCATTAGAAAGCTTCACATTCTTCATTCAGTTTAACATAGGTATTTGTTGTTATTTAAATGGCAGTTGCATGATTACTATATCAAAAATGTATCTAGTGGAATTAACCATAATGTGAGTGCAAAATGAAACAGGAAATGCCTGCATAAACATGAGCTAACAAAAAGGAACAAGTGAGAATCATGTGATGGCATTCATTATTACAACAAATGCAGAATCATGCAAGAAGTGCTAGTCGACTCTCCATGATCTAATGAATTATAATTCTAATTGTTATTGATGCCAAATTCTAGATCTTTAGGACTAGCATTAAAATGAAGGGGCAAAAAGGTGGCAAGGGAGGTTCGATTATGCACGAGCATAAAATAAATAGTGAAATAATCAAGAGTTCGTTTAAGAGCCAACCTGAAGGTATTCTCCATAAGTGACGCCACTTTTTGCAGCTGTAGTGTCTGCCCTTGTACTATAAAAAGTAATATTTACTTTCATTAACAGGTATGGTCTTCAGCTAGTGTATATTAAGGGCAAATAACTTCAAGTGCAGTGCAATTAAAACGTTAAAATGTTCAAAAGTGTTTCAACTAGTCACTAGCGTTTCAGTTAATCAATGTAACGTACACCTTGAGAGATGATTATCAAAAACAATGATTATCACAAAATATTGCAAACATGGCTCTGCAATCAAGTTACAACTGCTGCCTTTGAAGAAAGTATGTATAAATATGTATAAACCTCTCTAACGTAAATAACAGGACTAAGCAAAGCTTGTTTACAGCCTGGCTTACAAATAAATTGATAAAGTTGATATAAATTGATATGAAATAAATAAAGGTGATTCCCACAGCAGCATAAAGTTAACTTTAATGATGGAAATAAATCCAGCTTACATCAGCCATGGCCTTGGCTTTGCATTTATATTCTTTTAAAAATATTCTCTGTTATTAACAATAATTGATCGAATGTTGAGCACACTTCGAGCGCAACGGATGCTAATCACAGATCTGACAAGGAAATTGTGGGAACTGAAAAATACAGAATCTCAGAAATACATACTGGTTCTCTGTGGGTATCTCAGAAGCTGAATTTGAGAACGGGCAACTCATCTTGGTGCGAAATTATTTGTACGGATGGAGCGAATAACGTTGCTTGATGGGTATAAATTTTTCACGAGCGTTTATTTAAGAACCATACTTCATTTCCACTGTCATGTGTCTATTAGGAAAGTGCCTGGAGTTGCTGGTGAGTGGCTGGAAAATTGGTCAGCTGACCATCACACCCCCAAACAAATCACATGGTCTATTTAAAAAAGAATCTTTATGGCAGTTTCCCTAGACTTGCTCTACGAATAGGGAATTCTGCAGGGACGCCTGCCTGGGGCAGAAGGGGCAGTGTTGGTGCTGAGGGCATATTGTGAAGTTTTTCTACCAACATAACGTAATGGTAACTTCTACGAGGGTAGGGTAACATAATAAAACATTAACATGTATATCTGCCTGTCATCCTTACAGCTGGATTTTTTTTGTTAATGTTAATGTTAACGAAATTATCCATACATAAAAATGGGTATTAAATCGTCTTGTCATTTCTCCTTCCTAATAGGTTCCCGAAGTACTTCTGGGGAAACAAGTCTTTTGTTTATCTACTAGTAGCTTTGCCGCTCTCCTTCTTGTGACCCACCTTGTCACAGACAAACTTTTAAACTTTGCGTTTTTGTGCTGGTGTTATCATCTCCCTAACCTTTTTCTAAAAGAAATTAACATAATGGTCAAAGCGGTCTCTAATACTTCAGGGCACTTCTTGCTCCCTCTGCCCGGGTGCATTCATTTCTTGCTTGAGAGAGGAGTGTTGAAAAGTTTTCCCAGGCTAGCTGTTTTTCATGTTATTGTTATTCTGCTTTTTACGTATATATTATCTAATAAGCTGTAACTAAGGTTTATAAAGCACTCTAATATTGGCTTTTTGCACTTGCACTTGCTTTTAAATTGTTAGCGTTTTTGGGGGAGAAAAGATTTTCCTCCCTTTTGTATTATAGTTTAGAATTGGGGAGCAGAGTCGCGCAACAGGGTTGAGGAGTAGTTCGGTTTTAATGGAGTGCTCTGAGAGCACAGATTGCGAATTTAGTTAAAGAGTGCCAATTTTATCGAGTGAGATATTGTTCGTAACGGAATTGAAAGTTTTTATAACCATTTTACGCATCGCATCGGATTTGTATAAAGAATTATATATATAACCAGTTTTGCTGTTCCAAATTTTGTTTATTATTTTTATCGAACTGTGGAGACAGAGGCAGGAGGGAAACAAATACTCCTCTCTCAAGCACGAAGTAGACTTGGAGCATGTCTACAATTTCCTATAATGAGCTCTTCCTTGTGCAGAAGCTGCCGCACTGCGCTTGCATGCGTAAAACAAATTTACAATTTCATTTTCAAATAATCAAGTGTCTTGGCGTGATTGCGTGATCAATTCTGAAGTATGCTTGGAATCGAGCAAGAAATTTTTAGCGTGATCTGTGACTCACTCAATGGTGTGATTGCGTGAAAACGATTGCTGCAAACGAATTTCTGTTCTACTAGTGCCTACTATTTTACCAGCAGAAAGTCTTGGTTTCCTGTACCAGATAAATGTATCCGGTAGCGTAGCCAGGGAGGTAAACATTTTTTGTGGAGGGCAAAGGCGAGATAAACAAGAGAAATTGGGTGTTCAAAACCTCTTGAACACCAGGATACGCCCTTTTTCAAAGAGACTTTTTGCTTTTGGGTGGGGTCCACCCCCTCTTACTTCCCCTGTCGCTGCGCTACTGAATGTTGGTGATGAATGGTTCCTATATTGATTCTTTTGCAAGTTCTTTTATGGGCATGTTGTCGTTTTATGATCTAGTTTAACGTGCAGAAAACACGGAGCCAGCAAGAGACGATGTTGTGTGACCGTTGAATTTACTGTGTTATTGATTACGTTACTGTGGATACGGAGACGATGGGAGGTGTTAATGACAATGACACAATGGAAGGCTTGATTACGTTCGACAATGGTCACTACAAAGGTATCCAGTTTAGAAATTCCAATGCCAACGCCTCCAACAACAAGGACGCTACATGCAAAATATTGTCATGACTGAAAATCTCCTAGCAGAGAGTTTTTGTTAAAGACTCATTGCTAACAGTGAGCCATTGCGCTACGCAAGCATCCCATAATGCATTTTCAGACAGTCTGAAATCAATTATGGTTAATCAGTAGAAGTTTACTGCCATTGT